TCATCAATTGTAAGTACACCTTTGCCGTCATCGTCGTCGTCGACGGCCTGCTAATTCGGCCCTCTCTTCCAGACGTTTCACAACGAGGAGTCTGGAGACATCATCAGTTGGTTGACCAGAGCCACCGCTGCTGCTGGTGGCAAGTGCATCATCGCCTCTGCCCACACTGTCTACAACGTTCTCGCCGCCACTCGACCTGACATCATCCGCACACTGTCTCGTTCCGACTGGCCCTTTGCCCTGTATGTCTAACTGTCTCAGTGTGACCCGACATACCCGAGCTGCTTTCCTGACTTGCTTATAGTCCCAAGTTCCAATGTCGTCCCATCCTCTTCCACCAAGATGGCAAGATCATCATCAACTTCGGCCGCACGCCCCTGATGGGCACTGCTGCGCATCCCCGACCGGCACATTTCCCCACCCTCACCCCTCGTCAGATTGAGGCTCTCGATGCCGTGGAGACCATCGCCAAGGCGACACAGATGGAAATCCAAACCCGCCCTGGTGACATTCACTTCATCAACAACCTCGCAATCCTTCACCGTCGCGAAGGCTTTGTCAACGGCCAAGCACCCAGCGAGAAGCGCCATCTCGTTCGCATGCGCGTACGCAACGACAAACTGGGCTGGTCTCTCCCCGAGGAGCTGAAGCGCGAGTGGTACGACGCCTTCGAGAAGCCCGCCGACCGTGTCTGGCACCTGGAACCCATGCCGGATGCCTTTTTTCCTCTCCGCAAGTACCCCAACTAATTTTGCTGTCTTCCGTTACATGTTCATGCCGGGGAACTTTGAAGGAGCATCGTCAAAGACTGGAGAAGGGGCGTCACGGTTGCATTTCTTCTGCTTGCATTGTTTATCCCTGGGAACACGGGCTCCCTATGGCGTGGAGCGACTACTGCATCATCTATTATTTGCTTTTTCCCTCACCGTTCCCTATTACCCTGGTCGCCTCAAAAGTTTATTCCCTTACCTTGTCATTCACGGTCAGATGAGCACGGAGTCAATGGGAGTTCGCGAAGTAGAGCGCGGGCAAGAAAAAAGCATGTATACATGGATGGGATGTAAGACCAGGAGTTCGTTGTAATAGAAATTAATTACCCATTCACCGTCTTTCCCAACTAGTGAGGATCGCAAGCGCTGATCATTGACCGGATGTTCCAAACGTGGAACATCGGACTTTTTTTTCTGGCAGAGATATGGGCAAGACAAACCGGTGTGGTTTCGCCTCAGTCAAATGTCAACCGCGTGGCTGCAGGTGCGGCGGCCACTGATCACACGACCGAGGTGCTGGAACTCTACAACCATGCAGCACCGGTCAGAGAGCCGCGAGCAATCATTGGATGCTCCAAGACATCGGTGAGCGGGTGCCAATTCCGGGAAAGTGGACGTCAAGCCAAATTTTCAACTGGCCATGGCCCCTTCGGATGGCCGGCTGGCCGACTGATTGACGACCTCTGTCTCGAGCAACGGGATGCTACAGAGGGAAAACACTCGGAGCAAAGCCGGCTTGCGTGTCCGGTTTGTGCAACTGCGAGATGGTTGATTTTTCTGGAAAAGATTCCCATGGTCAAGCGCAAAAAGCCGGTCAGTGTCCTCCATACCGGCCTGCAGATGGAGATGCAACGGGACACGACAGCATGACACGAACGAACGGCCGCTTGACTGTTTGCGGATTTGAGTTATCGGGATTTCTTCTTTTTCTTTTTCCTTCAACGTACGAATACGTGCATGTGACGCTCCCGTGTCAAGCTCGCGATGGAGAGAGAGGGGACCAGCAGCAGCAAAAACGAGAAAAAGCAAACACTCGAGGACGACAGGCATCACTGCCCGATATTCCTATGAAAGGGGCAAACGGCCATCAGACAACATGTGGATTCCGGTCAGAGATGCCTTGACCGGTCAAAGGCTGACCGACACTTGGGCATGGAAGGCCGCAGGCGTTGGGGCCAGGGAGTGGCTTCAGCAGTTCTCGCCAGTGCTCACCGGTAGTGGGCGGCGACAGTCGTTTCAACGTGTGGCCAAAAAAATAAAAATAAAGAAAAGCATGCACAGAGGCATGGCCCCAAGCGATGTCGAGTCTGCAAGGTCTGCCGACGACAGGACGGTAGACGAGTGGCTGCAGGCTTGACGGGACGACGACACGCGGTGGTTTGACGTCTGCACAACGGCCGGCCAGGCAGGTGGTGTCGCTGCCGAAGAGGATGCATGTTCACATCGGGTGCATGCGATTGCCGGATCGTTGGCTGCTATGGTCTAAGTTCCCGGGGCCTTTCCAGGGTTTGGTTGCTGGTGACAGGATCGAATGTCGGCTGGGAACGACGACGCATCGCTTCCGTACAAGGGATGGGATGATATGGGGATGAGGAAGGACGGTGGACGCATTGGAAGGAGTGGACATTGAAGGGGAGTCGTGTGGGAACCTTTCTGCTATCTTCGGAAGCGCGTCGGCTCTGTATCGAGACCCCTATGCCGGGATATTTTTCTTTTCGACTGTCTTCAATGTTGAAGGGTCTGGGGTTTTGGTGATGACGATGATTGCTCTTGACGAACACCTTCCCATCGTGGGCAGGCAGGTCAAGGATGGGATTTGCAGCCTCTGCACGTATGCGTACACAACGAAGCCAGCAGCAAAGAGGAGAAGCAGGAGGAAGAAGAGGAGCGTCAGGGTTCAACGTGTTGCGCAATTGCTTTTTGAACATGCACATGGGTGGAGTTTTCTTGGGGATCGAAAAGCGACGCTGGTCCGACGTCGGTAGTATGGATTTCTCTGCGTCGGTCTCAGTTGCAGCGTGGCCCTTGACCTCTTCCTTTTCGTTTGGCGGCTGTTTTGCTTCTCCGCCATCTTGCATTTTTTTCTGACTCCCAGTTGTTGCTATTTCTTTTTCGCTACCAGGAACACACTGTACATGACCGGGGAGTTGTCATCGTTTCCTAGCGCAGGCGATCGATCGAGGGAGATGAATGGGGTCGGGAGTGAGAGAGGGGCGTCTTTGTAAGTGAGACTTTTCAAAGTTGCCTGGGGTTGGTCGTGTTTTCGGCGGGCAGTATGGGGAGACAGATAACTTTTTTGGTGCATCATTCGCAAAGGGCGCTAAGAGGTTTTATTTGGTTCTGCTTTTTTGCTTGTATTCTGCCTTATCTTTGCTTATTCGACCTGCCTGTGCGCCAAGCCGCGTCTTTTTGTAAAGGATGAGAAGGAAAAGGAAAAAGAAAGGATGATGGGTCGCTAGCAGAAAAGATGAGGCAGGGAGGAGGGGTACTCTTGAGAACGGGTAACTAATCAAAAAGCGTCCACGGCATGCGGCCAAGAACCTGAAATGGGACCATGCGCGGTCACTTTGGATTATTGAAGTGTTAGTTCGGGGTGGGCACGATGTCAGTTTTGCGTATTTGCGTGGTATCGTGCGCTTGTGTCAATGTGTGTTGGAGCAGGGGTGTGTGTGTGTGTGTGTGTGTGTGTGTGTGTGTGTGTTGTGTGATAGATGACAGTCTCAACGACGGTGGGGTTTTTCTCTCTGCTCGCTTGCCATCCGGTGCCGTCTCGCGAGAGAGGGGGAGGGGCTGGAATCAGAGCTGACGGACAGCTGAGCTCTGGTGGTGACTGGTGGCTTGATTACGGAACAGCAGCTGGGACGAGCCAGCAATGTCGCCGTTGAAACGTGGTTGGGCGGCGTCGAGGATGAGGATGCGTCTGGGGGAAAAAGAAAAGGGCGTGATGCAAGTGTGGTTTGGCTGGATGACAGCGGACGTCGGCTGGAGCTAGTAGTCGAGGGTTATGCCTGTATCTGTCTTTTTTGAGGTTTGCCTTTGCCTTCCCCCCAAAGATGCAGTCACGTGAATCTGCAGACGGTTCGCGAGACGTAAGGTTTGGATACTGTGACGGGAACGTAGCTCAACGACGGTGGCCAGTGCGTGGACGACCCGGGGGCAGCTGTCGGCGATCCAATTGGCCAATGGTCCGTTTCCTCAGGACCGGATCCATCTTCCCGTTGGAAAGCCAAGACAGGCCAGATGGTCCAGGCCGTGCGTCGAATGAGATTGCCGCATTCAACGACACCTAGGTGCCGCCCCCCTAAAGCCAGACCAGAGCCTCCCTGAACTTGGAATCCCTCCAAACGACGCGACGACGCCTCTATCGCGAATCCCATCACACGCACCACCGCCGTCCATCCGCCATCCAGCACATCCCAGGGCTGCTCCCGCGGCGCGTATCATTCGCAAGCATCCGAGAGATTGTCCTTGCTCTGTTTGCTTCGTTTTTCCTGGCCCCCCTTCTCTTCACCTCAGCGCGTCTCTTTCCGCCTGTTCATTCTGCTTTCGTCCGGGGTCTTGGGCCCCCTTTACCCGACTTACCCGTCAAGGTGGCCAATTGGGTGTGACGGAACACCCATCCCGATAGCTGGGGGCAACGTGCCTTAGTCCGACAGCTCGAAGAATCTCTCGCCCCCTTTTCTGCATCGACGGGCATCCCGAACGCGACCTCGCTATCTGCCGTGGGTTGCGCCTGCATCATCAGTCCAGCAATCCAATCCATCCACCTAGCTACCTCTGAAGGATATTCATGGGACCGCCGCGGTACACTCGGATGTGAAACGTACCCCGTCTGACCGCCAACCTGCACCTCGGTATTGCACCTGCCACACGCCCCTCCCACGTCACGTATTTCAAGGTCACACCTTTTCTCCTTCTGCCGCTGTCATCGGGCTCGTCTGGCTGGCTGAAGCAGGCCCAGCGTATCGTTGCTTTCTTTGTGTGCGTTGGTGGTGGAGCAGCCCGCCATCCCGAGTCATCGACGCAGTACGTCCGATAGGCGCGCCGTCCGACGTAGCGTGCAGAGTGCGCGCGCGCATCTCGCGGTGGTGCTTGCTGCATCAGGTTTATCCGTTTGACTTGACGACGTCAAGTTGCAGCGAAAAGGGGAGGATCTCGTTCGTTTTTGTCGTTGCAAGCCGTTGATCCGTCTTGGCTTTTGACTTTGAGACTGCCGCGTGACGTGTGACAATGGCACCCCGTCAGGCCGGCTACCTCCGGGTTCCCGGCGAGGAGGAGTCCCCGTACGGAGGACAGCAACTGCCCCGCCGAAGCCGCTCCGGGTCCTCGGGGCGGAGGGAGAAGCGCCTGCCCAGCGAGAAGCCGCTGCCTGCGCTGCCGCCGGGTACGCCGGCCGACGCCACGTTCCCCATCAGCCTCGACGATGACGATGACCACAACGTCTCGCCGAGTGAGCGGAGCTACCGCCGTGCAACGGTCGCCATTGGCCTAGCCATCCTCGTTACCATTCTCGGTTTTCTGATTGCGTTCGCGGTGCTGGGGTTCGGGCTGGGCGTGGACGGTATGAGGCACGGGCCGGATGGGATGGCCAAGAACTTTGGGGGCGATGATTGTCCGTGTCGGCAAGACCCCGATGTGCCGCAGTATTTCAGGACGAGCCCGGAGCTGTGGGCCGGGCCGACGGCGACGGGAGCGGCCGCCTTTATGGCGCAGACGAGGGTTCTTCCCACGGGCAGCTTTGTCCCCAACGCGCCTCTGCAGACGGATGTGCCGATTGAGGGAATGAAGGGAGGGAATGAGAGCATCTTCAACATGATGGGGTGAGTCTTGCCGCCTGGGAAGGTGGAAATGAGTGCTGACCGCGGCAGATATCTCACGCCGTATCAACCGAGTCCTGGTTTCGGTGTGGAGGAGTATGCATTGCCTGAGGGTGCGGACATTGTCCAGGTCCAGGTATGTAGCCCCCAGTGTGAGTCGAGGGCTTGACTGACATGTACCAGATGCTCTCTCGCCATGGGTCCAGATATCCCACAATGGGCTCCAACGTCTTCGACTTTGGACAAAAGGTTGCCAAGGCCAGTGACACGCTCAAGGCGATGGGCGCGCTGAGCTTCCTGAACAACTGGAGGTATCAGCTGGGCCATGAGATTCTTGTCCCCAAGGGTCGTCAGGAGTTGTTTGACTCTGGCATCCTGCACTCGTACATGTACTCTTCGCTGTACAACCCCAACAGCAAGATCATTGTGCGGACGACGGTATGCTCAGCATCTGTTTGCGACCATTCTATATGACTAACGCACTTGTAGACGCAAGACAGGATGCTCAAGTCCGCCGAGTACTGGCTCGCGGGCTTCTTCGGTCTCGAGTGGACCAGGAACGCCACCATCGAAGTCATCATTGAGCAGGACAGGGCCAACAATTCCCTCGCCGGCTACCTCAACTGCCCCAACGCCCGCAAGCAGAACGGCGGCGACGAGGCGGCCAAGATTTGGGTCTCGAACTACCTCGCCAACGCCACGGCCCGTCTCAAGGACATGGTTGATGGCTTCGACTGGACGATTGAGGACACCTACGCCGCGCAGACCATGTGCCCCTATGAGACGGTCGCCTACGGGTTCAGCCGCTTCTGCGACCTCTTTACGTATGAGGAATGGGTTGGCTTTTCGTACTCTGTCGATCTCGCTTTTGCTGGCAACAATGCCTTCCAGAACCCCACAGGAGTAAGTCACTGTCACGCATGGTTGCCCTTAGGGATGTATGTATTGACAAAACGCAGCGCGCTGTCGGTATCGGCTGGCAACAAGAGGTCATTGCCCGCCTCCAGAACCACACCCTAGGCTACTCGGGCTCTCAGATCAACGTCACGCTCGACAACAACACGGAGACCTTCCCCCTGAACCAGAGCCTCTACTTCGACTTCTCCCACGACACAAACATCGCCTCCATCCTGACCGCGTTCGGCTTCAAGCAGTTTGCCCAGCTGCTCCAGCCCACGGAGTACCCCGGCAAGCACAACTTCACCGTCTCGCACATCACGCCTTTTGGCGCGCGCCTCGACATCGAGATTATCAAGACGCCGAAGCCGTTCAAGGCCGACCGTTCCGGGTACGAGGAGTCCGGCGGCGAGACGAAGTACATCCACTTCGTGCTCAACCAGAGGACGCTCCCGCTGGGATGGAGTTTCCCCGAGTGCGACGTGGAGCGGAAGGACGGCTGGTGCGATCTGGACACGTTCTTGGAGGTGCAGGAGGAGATGCCCAAGCTTGCGGACTACGAGCGGGCTTGTCACGGGGACATTGAGACTGTGCCTTACGGCGTTGTGTACGATGGCCGACCCATGTAAGCAAAGGAAAGTGTGACGATTAGTGTGTTTGCGTGGTTTTGTTTGTGTACATATTTCATTCGTTTCCCCGTCTGCTCGACGGACGGCCTGTGTCGTGTTTGGGTTCCTCGGGCGTAATCAAGGTCTTTAGATTTTCTTGGCGTAGATGGGCTGTGCAACGCCCACGATTTCACCTTCTTTAGCTGTCTAATTTCATGCAAAACCCCTCGCGGGGGAAATTATCGAGATACTGACGCTTTGAGAATACGAGACTGGTGCCTGGATTGGCCGGGACCCCGCGAAATGCATTCCGGGGATGCTACCACCACTGAGGCTATGCACAGGTTTTAGCGTGTTTCCTGCTTCACAGCCTCCTTTTGAGACACCTTTACGATGTTCTGTATCAACAGCTGGCTTGTTTTCGCGTGTTTTGAGGGCTTTCCCTTCTGTTTCTTCCGGGTTCACGATCCTGCGAGAATGCTAGAACGGAGATGGACTCAGGAGTGTGACTGGAAATTTGAAGTCACTGACGTTGACATGCAAGGGATGTCATTGTGGGGCGACGGGCTCTGAGCTGAGGGTGAGATTATCTGAGGCTGCACGACGAAATTGTCTTGAAGATGATCTATAAGACGAGGGGTGATCTCTCACGTTGATGGGTAGATCTCGGCCAACAGCAGACCCTACTACTCACATTCGTTTCAACAAGAATACCACAATCGTTTGAATCATGAGATCCGGGGCCCTCAGCGCGGTGCTCGCGTCACTCGGCACCGTGACGAGAGCGCAGAATTGCACCTTCGACTCAATCACGCCCTCACAGGACCTCGTCTGGTGCCAATGCGAAGGCGACTACCTCTGCGCCAAACTCGATGTCCGCAACCCAAAACCCACCCCCTCACATCCTCACTTACTAACCTCTCTTCTCACCAGGTACCCTTGAACTACCTCAACCCGGGACTCGCCCGCGCCACCGTCCCGCTCATCAAGCTCCCCGCGGCGCCCTCCTCCCCAGACGGGCCCTACCGCGGCGCCCTCCTCCCCAGACGGGCCCTACCGCGGCATGATCCTCACCAACCCAGGCGGCCCCGGCGGCTCAGGCATCGAGCTCATCAGCCAGAACGGCGCCCTGATCGCCCAGGCCATCGGGACCAACTACGACATCGTCGGCTTCGACCCCCGCGGCATCGGGCTGAGCGAGCCGCGGCCGAACTGCTCCGCGGGGATCCTCGCTCAAACACAGCAGTCCAGGGAGGCGCCGAGGCTGCAGGACGCGTACTTCCAGTCCTTCATCGACTTCGGCAGGGCGCTCGGGGAGCAGTGCGCGGAGCAGGCCGGCGGGTCGACGGGGGCGGGGAGGCATATGACGACGGCCGTCACGGCGCGGGACATGCTCAGCATCGTGGACGCCTTCGCGCGGACGCCTGACGGGGCGCGCGCGGCGACTAATGCTAGCCTGCTGAACTACTACGGCATCAGCTACGGCACGTTTCTCGGGCAGACGTTCGCGAGCATGTTCCCGGACCGCGTGGGGCATGTCGCGCTGGACGGGGTGGTGGACCCGGCGGCGTTCCAGGCGAATGGGACGTGGCGGAGTGTGAATCACCTCGATGGTGTTGTTGGCGCGTTCTTTGTGTATTGTCACGCCGCGGGGCCGGAGGCGTGTGCGTATTACACGGGGACGACGGCGATGGACATCTTTGAGCGGTGGAAGGCGTCGTTTGAGAGGCTGGACGCGGGGAGGGCGACGGCGGAGGGTTGGGGGAATAGCAGCGAGATCGCGGCGGCGCTGTTGACGTTCAAGGTCGGGATGTTGGCGATGGCGGTGCAGCCGCTGGAGATGTTCGGGCCCGTGGCGGAGGCGCTTGTAGGGCTGGAGCAGGCGTTGGAGGGCGGTGTCTTGGGACAGTGGACGGAGCAGGTCAACGGGCTGATTGGGGATCCCGGGGTCGCGTCGTATGCTGCGACGAGCCCGGAGCAGGGGCTCGGCGTGATCTGCTCTGACCAGGAGAACAAGCAGTACGGCAAGGGGTTGGAGGAGATACGGGGGCTGATTGACCAGCTCGAGGGGCAGAGCGTTATCGGGGAGACGTGGATCAGGTTCACGCTGGGCTGTACGGGTTGGAAGATCAAGAGCGATGATGTGTTTACGGGCCCGTATGGAGGTGAGACGAAGGGGAGGGTGTTGTTTGTGAGCAACACATTTGATCCGACGACGCCGATTGAGAAGTAAGTCTGCTGGTCCCTCGAGTGCTGGTTATCTGTCTTGCTTACTCCATTTACAGTGCTATTTCCAACGCCCCGAGCTTCAAAAACGCGAGGAGACTGACGATTGAGGGCACGGGTGTAAGTCTAATCTAGTATTCTGTCGTTGATTATCCGCCTAGGCTAACGTGGACACAGCACACCGGCACGGCAACGAACAATTTGTGTGCTTACGGGGTTGTCAAATCTTACTTCCAAGACACGATTTGTGGAAAAGATATATACTGTCCGCTTGAAACAGGGCCGTTTGGGGTTCAGTTGGAGGGTTCGATCCAGGAGAATCTCGAGGCAGCGGGCTTGGAGAACCTTCATGACCTATTTTAGTTTCCCCAAACAGGGTCATGTTCAGCTTACATCGATGAAAAAACTTTCAACAAAGTATGCCAGAGTTTTCTCACTGAGCCTAGCCTTCTGATACACTCGCAACTCTGTAGTTGGCACACCAGGTCTTGCGCACTCTTCTGGGGCGATGTCTAATTGCACTTCGTTTGTCCCCAGTAGCCAGTACTCTCTGTGTATTGAATGGTACTCTATGCAGTTTAAGCTTATACTTGATTAAGGCACGTTCACGAGGCTTTTAAAAGTGAAGGAAAAGTCGTCGCCAACCACACGTATCGTGATGGCCTCCACATCCACCGCTAAGGGTCACAAAAAAAAGGCAAAAACATACAACAACAGGCATTCGCCGGTCGTCACCGACCCGACTACTACTCTGTCCCTCACTGGCTTGTCTATGGGAGAGCGAACGGGATCCCGAGTTTTCCAGTGGGTATGGTCGTATGTGGAAGACATTGAAAGCGAAGAGGCTCATGGAGGCTTCGTCGACAGGATCATCCTGGGCTATGTGATAGTTGCACACGTATTGTCTACAATGAAGTTCACCCTCTGCTCTGTCTTCATCTGTCATAGAATCTGAGCTTATAGGATAGTATTACGATTCTCAGCGTCTAGTCAGAGGGATCGATTCAGGAGAATCTTGAGACAGCTGGCTTAGCGAACCTCTACGACCTCTTTGAGTGTCTCAAAATATAACCAAATTGCAGCTTGCACGCAGTTATTGCCTTCTAGCCTGTTCGTATATGGCCTCGGCCTTTTTGGGTCGGCCCTGGGGTGAGGGGATATTGTAGCTCAAAGAAGCTAAGGCTGGAATTGGATGCACCACGCCGGCGACTCTTGTTACTGTGTTGAATAGCACACGCCGTGGGTAGCTTGATGTAACAAGTTGGACTATTTTTTCGAGGCTTTGACACATACTAAGTCTACAACAGGAGCAATGAGCCGTGGCTCAACGGGTATCTTCTGCCATGCGTGCACTCGCTAGTTGCAGTAACAATCGCAGTCGCCCTTCGGAGTAGCCATCCATCGTCCGTTGTCACCACTTTGGCACTGCAATATTTTATAAGCAAAGGAACTTCAGGCCTTGATTCAACGACAAGTGGTGGAATACTCACTCTGCCTTCGCATAAGCTTGCGCACCTGTCTGAGTCGGCAGCATTGCAGTTAGACTCCCACTGGAAGAGCAGCATGGTCAGTAAAACTACATCATGTAGACAGCCAGGGGCTATGGTACGAACAGAAGGATCTCCGATTGAGGCGCAAGCCTGTCCAATTTGTAGATATACTTCTGCCGCAGTTGAAGAGACACAGACCGCGGCTGCGATGGCAAGGAGTGAGAAGCGCATAGCTGAGGTGTAAATTTGATGTGATCGGGACAGTCGATTGCTTCTGAGACTAACGCAATGATCGTCGAATGGTGGGAAACAGTAACACAGCCTTGGATATGAATATTAAGCGGCTATACTGATATCTTTAAGTACCCCAATTGGATCCTTGCATCGGCAGGTGACTTGAGATGTGGAATATATTGGAACGAGTCTTGGTTTCTATCTTAACTTTCTTTTAGATTGAACGGTATCAGATTGTCAAGTACTCTTACAGTCGCAGAATAGCAAAACTGACTCATACAATCAATCAAATCACACCTTAAAAGCAGTAAATCTAATCGATCTATGTAGCGTTTAGTAGCAGTTGCGTACATGAACCGCTCAATCATTTTACATGACACAAACCTTATCCAGATTGTCAACAAATCGTCGTTCCAAAATCAGACGACATGCCCGGGGAGAAGAGCACCTTGGGTTTACAACTCTCCTGGAGTCTACCTAACCCCGCATTCTGATGTCCATTCTCAAGGCCTCAGTGCTGTTGCAGGCAATTAGGATGGCGAAGTCAAGGTCTGCGGCCTTCTCAGTCGTAGTAAGAAGAAACTTCAGGAAATCGACACCACCAACTCGCCCAAGTCAAACTGAAATCGCCTGCAACCCGAAAGGTCATCTACAGTTCACTCCGAATCGCAGGAGTTGAACGAGCCTGAGTCATTGACGTCCGCAGAGACGCCAAGCACCTCGTCCAAGGGCTTGGTTCATATTAAGCCTAGTTGACGCATGCCCCGACTCAGCTGCTTCCTCGCCTCCTACGGTTTCAATGTTCTCCACGAAATTCCGGCACCCTCGGAAATCGCAATGCTCTTAGAAATCAGAAAGCTCTCGAAAAACATACCAGCTATATCTATTCGTCGACAGGGTTATCCGGGGCCACGTGATGATTTCACAAGCACTTTCCAAGACAGATTTGAACTTATGCGTCCATTTTGCCACTGCCAAAGCCTGGTCGTGTTCATCCTCACTATCCCGGCTACTTGCTGTGCTCATCGCCACTGACCACTCACACCCGCAATATCTGAACCTCATTGCCAATGGTCACAAGCACCGCAATAATCGGCAGACAGCAATGATGAAAATTGAGGACGCACGCTGTATTTCTTGACGCAGCATGCGAGCTTACAGGACAGTCGTCCGATTCTGTACGGGCAACAGGGTCGAAGTTCGCCTCGACCCAAAAAGAAAGCGAGACCGACACATCGGTTGGCTTGGTTCCTGAAGAAGAAGAGTTGTGATTTTGTGAAATATACTACTTAAGCAGTTATTGCAAGATAAATATCTTATGGGGCAGAACAACATGGCCCTTCAGAAGAAAATACGAGGTTCTCTAAATCCCTCATGGTTCAGGATGCAGAGAATGGCCGGGGAACGTCTGCTCCATCTTGCGCCTACCACCGTCACTGAAACGCCACTGCCGAGCAGCGACCGAAGAGAACAAGACGCAAGACTCTTGAATCCACGCCTGAATACTCCGGCGCCTGGGAAAACGGAAAGAAGCGGAACGGTTGGCCCATCTCCTTCGAAGGGATCCATCCAAGCCACCGCGCAACCAACGGATCTCCAGAGATCACTGATCAATGTTATCAAAACCAAAATGTTCAACACGCCCCACGATTGGCTGTCCTATTCACAGCGCCTCAATAGAAGACTCATTACATAGTCACTGTCGGTCCGCCGTGAAAAATGTGGTTAGGACCGTCCATTGAGAGATCCTTTTGGACGGTCGTATTTGAGTCTAAGAGAACCCCTCAAGTAACGACCGAGGCCGCATTGCCGTATCGCCAGCCGGAGACATAGTTACACAAGCAATTCGCCAAACGATTCAGCAAGACCATTTAATATTATGCTGAATATCTCGAGCACAAAGCTCTATATACAAACAAACAAAGCGTAAATGACAAGAACAACGTCTGAGTGTGTGCCTCTTCATAAACCTAAGCACCACCTCTTTTTCATGATTCATCCACACCAATCTAACAAATGTTTCCCAACATGGGTATCAATCGCTAATCCAGTATTCCAGAAAAAACCATCCCTTTTTACTCGCTAGAAGTGTCCGGGCTCTTCGGGCCCGGCTCGACCTCCCCGTGTCCCTCGCTGTTGGCGATGGCACTCTGCAGGGCACTCGTCAGGTCGACGTGGAAGAACGGCCTGTTCAAACCGTGAACCACGACACCTCTTCTCTTGGTGGCCAGGCCCCTTGTGCCGCGCTCGTGATGCAAGCCCGTAGATGACACGGGGTCGATCGCGTCGTACGCCCCGCTCTTACCAGACTCCTCGTCCGCGTGACGGGAGTTCCTAGCGTGGGACGAGATTTCCTTCTCATTGGCCTCCTTCTCCGCGACCGCCGCAGCCGACTCGGCTCCACCAATCTCGGCAACGCTGAAAATGGACTTCCAGCGGTGCTGCAGGCCGTCGCCGCGGTCGGCGGGGAATCCGAAGCCTGCGGCGACGAGGGCGCGCTTGGTCCAGCGGTTGTTGATGCAGGCGATATGCCAGTTGACCTTATCGGGCGCCGCATAGCGGTCAAGCTGGTTGCGGACGTCGATGAGCTGCTGGATTGAGGTGAGATCGACGTTGTTAACACAGCTGAAGTCGAGGATGACGGCCTTGAGCGTGGGCTTGTTCTCGGAAGCGGCGATCTGGGCGGCGGCCTTCGAAGCCTTGCGGGACGGGCCGGGGTCGTTCCAGGGTCGGTCTCCGAGGCGACCGTAGCTCTGGAGGTTGGTACGGCGAGTGCGCTCGAAGACGTACTCAGTGAAGTACTCAAGGGAGTGACTGGCGTTCGGGTAGTTGAAGCCCTCGGAGAAGCGGTAGATGAAAATACCGGGGTAGGGCTGGTCGAGCTCGACCTCGGGGTTAGTACCATCGCCGTGGTCGATCGGGAGGAAGACATTGCGAGCCGCGTTATCGCCGGCATCGAAGGTGCCGTACTCGCCAACGACTTGCCTGTGGTCTTCTCCGATGACATGGTCGCCGATAACGGAGTGGATCTTGACCTTGCCAAGGAATCGGCCCTGGCCTCGGAGGATCCGCCAGAAGAGGAGGGCGGCGGAGATGACGACGGTAGCGTAGATGCCGTTCTCGATGGAAGAGAAGACGGTCACGAAGACACCAACGAAGAAGATGAGAACCTCGAAGGGAGAGACACGCCAGAACTGGTAAACAGTGTTGGGAGGCGTAATCAAGTCTCCGACGGCGTGGATAATGACGGCGGCCAGGGAGGCGCTAGAGATGTAGAAGAAGACGGCCGTCAGTGCGTAGATAGCAAGCAAGACGATGAGACCTGTGATGACACCGGCAAAAGGGGTCCTGACACCAGCCTTGGACTTGATGGCGGTACGGCTGAAAGATCCGGTAGAAGGGTACCCGCCGAGGAACGGAGCGATGACATTCGTAACACCGATGGCGACAAACTCCTGGGAGGGGTTGATGGTGTAGTTGTTGACACGGCCGAAGGACTTGGAGATGGCGACGTGCTCGATAACAAGAACGATGATACTGGCGGGAAGGAAGGGCAGGAAGGCACTGATGAGGTCGGTATCGATCTTGGGGGTACCGACGTCCTGGAATCCTCGGGGAACATCGCCAAGAATCTTGAACATGGGGTTGTCGCGCCTGTGCATGTTGACCAGCCAACTGATCATGGTGTAGAGCAGGATGACGAAGACAGTTCGCAAGGTTGACAGGAAGAAGAACAGCTTCGACCTCTGGGGGTATTTCTTCGCGGCGGTGGTGAAGACGTATCGGAGGAGGTAGAGCCAGGTCAAGGCAGTCAGGCCCATTGCCGCATCCATCTTGGTCTTGGGAAGGTTCTTCAGGGTGTTGATGAGGACCATGTAGGTAGCATCACGAGTGTTGACACCCTTGATACCCAGCAACGTCGTGAGCTGACCGACCGCGATGCTGATGGCCGAGCCCGTCATGAAGGCGGAAAGCGAAGTCAGGGAAATCAGGTTGACGATCCATCCCATGCGAATCAGACCGATGAACAGGATGATGGCGCCCGCGATGATAGCGAGTGCCGATGCAATCTGATGTCCTTCGTACTGGGGGAAGTCGGCTTGAACATCGGTGATGAGGTTGCCAACGACAGTTGACATGACAGCGACAGGCTGGGGTCTGTTAGTAGCGCACAAAACTATGCTTCAGGGGCAAACTTACGCCAATCGTAATATCCTTGGATGTAGCAAAGAACCAGTAGAGAATAACACCCATGAAGGATGAATAGAGACCGAATTCGGGATCGAGCTTCGCCAGCAGCGCGTACGCCATGCCCTGAGGGACGACGACAGCACCAACAGTGACACCGGCAACCAAGTCACCCATGAACCACTGCAGGTTGTAGTGACCAATCCAGGTGAGGAAGGGGAAGAGGGAGCGGATGTACTGAACAACCTCTTCGCCCGTGGGCACAAGTTCGAGGAACCATTCTGCGGTTGTCGGCTCCTCCTCGACGAAGGTGTCTGAAGACTGAACGGAGAAGACAGACTCTCCACGGAGCATCTCCTCGTTCTCGGGCCTGTCGAGCTTGATGCCCAAGACCTTGGCCAGGCCGTGGCCGATCTTTGAGCCTGCGCCCGGCATGTTGGTTGAATTGGCGAGGGTTGAAGTGGTCGGACAGGCGGCTAAGGAAGCGAGTAACCAAAGGTACTTGCTGACTCTCTCTCAAGGGAAGACGCCCCCAAGGATATATAGGACTCGCTGGGGCTACCGTGCCACACACACGAATTGGGCCCTTGCAAACTGCCCCGGAATAAACCGACTGAGCGGTGGGTGAAAGGAATTTGAACCAGGGTGCGATATATGAGAGCTGAATGTCGCAAGAGGTGACTAGAACGCTTTCAGGCCTCGAACCTCGACGGAGGTGGCGGTTTGGGGTAGTAGGTGCGAGATTGACACCTCCCACAAAGCCCTTGCAAAGTTGCGCAATCGAATCAAGGGGATATTAATTGGTCGAGACCCAACTCAATGACGAGTTCGTGAACGCCCCCCGACTCAGGCAGACAGTAGTGATCTGACGGCGTCTGATAAGGCCAACTGGTGCGCTCGCAATCACACAGCTGAAAAGAAAGGTGTGTCCGTTTGGGACAACAGTGACGATCAGGTGTCAATGTTGAAGGACCGGAGGGTGTTGCGCGCGCGCGAGGCGGTAAAGTTGTGCAACTGGAACGGAAGCTCTTCAAAGCTCTTCGAAGCTCTTCAACAGGTTATTGAGGACGGGCCTCGAGGTTATTAATTGAGTTCAGAGACTTCGGTAGTGGAGTGCCAAGTGCCAAGCAGAGGCTCTACGGTCCTCCCGCTGGACAAGACGATGGATCTCGTGGGCCAAGAGATGTGGCTCCGGGATGACGGCGGCAGCCAAGAAATGAAATGCTGCAGAGAGGCCGAGGAGAAGACGACGGCGAGAAACGAGAAAACCCTGACGTGGGGTGGGCGAATCACTCAGGATGCGACTGTCAGGGAATGATGGCGCGGCTTTAACAGGCGACAATGTCCCAAGCACGGGTTGGAGGGAGCGGAAGAGTCTTTTGTTATGGTGGTTGTACGGGCACTCCTCCCGCGATGTCGAAACCGGGGCGATGTCGCCATCGAGTCTTTGCCAGACCAAGCTTAGCGGGGCCTCCGATGGGGACGGGATATGCTGCGAGTCCAATTATCTTATACCCACAACGCGAGGAGGTACCCGCGCGTTGTTGGTTATTTGATATTGGAATGACACAGGCAGCGGTACAAATGCAAATGCTCGCTCAATTGATTTTTTCTTTAGGCGCCAAAGACGGAAGAATGCCCGCGTGGGGGAACGGGCGACGCTCGAGGCGGTCTCACTCTCGGAGGTATGCGTCGCGTGGTCAGCCAAAGAGACTGCAAGGTCGAGCCACGGGAGCACCCAAGTTGTGTCACAAAGAGTGCGGATGCAGAATACTCGAAAGAGTTATTTGTACGTACAACTCGCATGGAGGAAAATCCGGGTCCCCTATCCCCGGGTGGACATTTTGCAGAATGCCAATGCCTGGAGTGTCGTCAGTCATGGAGCCGGGGCGAAATGTGCCTTGATGACAGAGGTGATAATATGGCGATGTTGAAAAATCAGAGCTGACGGTCGGATGAGGTATGTGCATTCTGTTGTGCAACAAGTGTTCCAACAGAGGGGTCGAGTCTCCAGCGAACTACCGCTTTGGGTGCGGGATTGGACGATCTGACCAATGAGGTTCAGCTTCCGCAACTCGGCGATGGTGCAATAGCACCCTTGTTTGAGGTGATGGCTAGTGGAGCAGATGGGTGCGGAGATGCTCAACCTGGTTGGCCCATTTTTGAGATGGACTGTTGCTATTGAGGCAAAGTGCGGTACGAAGCTTTCCCTGCCGTGGATGCCAACCGGGCTGTTCCCTGACCTTGTCGGAATTAAACTCCAAAGACGCCGACACGGTCGGAACGCCTTCGCACAGAAACGGGCCTCAATGGTTCCAATGGCTTTTAGACGTGCGAATCAGACAGGCCAGGCGTTGGCTGGACTCGACTGGAGGAGGCCATGCCATCGTAGTGACAGATGGATGAGAGTCTGGAGAGACAGGGGACGGGCTGGCCCCCAGGTCCAGGTGATGGGGTTTGTGGATGGGAGCTCGAAGGACGACTCTGTCAGCTTTGGCTGGAATTCGGATCCGTGACAAATCGACGCTGGACTCGGGGCTCCGTCGGACGGATGTGGTTGCGGATGACCAGACGTCATGGGTGTCCGCATGTACCACAATGCCAAGACGCCCACGACGCCGCATGACGAAAGTCATGCGACACGTGTTGATGACTAAGATTTCGCGAGATTGTTCTACCGGACCGGATGCCTTCTCAATTATGTAAGCGATCTATGTGGCGATGCAGCTGGACTGTGGCTTCAGTGTGGCGCATCATCTCTTAAATTCCCAAGCATTCCCGAGGGCCAAATGCTTGGGATATCCAGGTCAGTCGAACCCCTTTACCGTGCATTACCAGCCACCGGCGCACCACCGTCCGGGACTGTTGACTCGGCGACTAGGCGTCTGGACGCACTGCCGAAAGAAAAAGAAAAAAGAACAAAATGTTATGTAAAGTCTTGGCGCCGTCAGGAAGCGATCGCCTTGAACGACCTGGAGGCTAGGTTCAACTCTGGAGGCTGGATGCCCTGAAGCTCACTGCTCCGATTGCCTTCTTGGGCGAGAGCTGAGTGCATCAGCCACTCAGGAGCCGCAGAAGGCGGGAGCTGAAGCCTCGAGGCCCCCAAACCCCCGGACAGCAACGCGTAAAAACACGGCCGCTACAGCGACCGCGAACTCCCCTACCCCCCCTCTCCGGCCCCCTCCTCTCACCGGGCAACTGAGCCGCCTTAGTCAGAAAGGAAACATCAGCAACACCACAACCATCGCTGCGCTCCTCTGCCTGTGCCTGTTCCATCGGCAACACCAAAAACTGCAATCACCAACCTCCTCACCCCGCCCTTGGGCCAAAAATAGCAGTCCACGAGGTGTTCCTCACCTCGCTACACTGCAATTGCCCCCTTTTTGTGCTGGGCATTATCGTTCTCTATCCCCAGGGCTCTACTTTTTGTCTGGATATTCCCGTATAATTCGTTGTAATTCCCAATTCTTAGAGTGAATGTAGCCAAAAACCACCCCTGCCTACGTTATCAACCTTACCTTATTCCGCATATTCCCCTTCCATTCGCAAACATGCCGTCCAGTCCGACCAGAGATCCATTCACCGGCCCCCCGGCGCCGCATGCCTTTGTGCAGTCACACGCGAAAACCACCGAGCTGCTCCCGCCCCCCTCGCCGCGGACGCATCGCGCCTTGCGCAAACTGCAGTCGGCGCACAACCTTGGCTCCAAGGCCGCCCTCCAACAGATCCCGCCCCTGCAGCCCTCCTTGATCGCGCAGCAGCGACTGACACAACGCAACATCTCGCCCACGCGACGCGATGCGAGCACCTCCTCCGCCATGAACGTGAACAGATCACCGCAGCGAGGACGGTCCAACAGCGATGCGACGAACCACCACCACCTGAACGCCATGGCTGCCACGAAGCGCAGCATGATGGGTATCAACCCGCGGTACCTCAACATGTCTCTGCACCAGCTCATCAAGGACGGCCCAATCGAAGGAGATTCCGTCGAGGCGCTGGGAATGGCCCGTCGCAAGGTCTTGAGCGAGGGTATCAAAAGCGACAGTGACGGCATGGTATGTGCTTCTCCCCTACCTCACGTGCCTCTTAACCTAATGCGCCATTGAACAGTCTACGCTGCGTATCTACGTCTGGATCATCCTTCTTGACACTCCTGTCCTCCCCACCGACGACTATCTTGCTCTCATCCACCGCGGCGCGTCCCCGGCGTACTCCAAGATCCGCAACGATACTTTCCGCACCCTCACCACCGACCCGTTGTTCCGCCGACGCGTCAGCGAGGCAAGTCTCATCCGCCTCCTCAATGCCGTCGCCTGGCGCCTGCACGACGCTCGCGAGCAGCAGCGAAGTCGCGATCGCGACCGCGACCGCTCGCTCAGCCGACCCAGCACCGGACGAAGCTCCATATCCCACGACAGCTCGAACTCGACAGCCACCGCGCACTCCACGAACCCCGCCTCACCTTCTGCCCGCAATCGCGCGCGAGCTTTGACCTTAACAACGGAGGGCTCCGAGTCTTGCCACGCTGCCGAGCCGGGGACGTATGTACAGGGAATGAATGTGTTGGCAGCTCCCTTCCTATATGCTGCGCGCAGTGAGGCCGAGGCGTTCACTGCGTTCTACACCCTGCTCACACGGGAGTGCCCCGGATACATTCGAGGCGCAATGGATGGCGTCCACAAGGGGTTGGCTCTGGTGGACAAGGTCTTGGCGACTGTCGACTCCAAGCTGAGCGGATACCTTCACTCCAAGGGCTTGACAGCTGAGATCTACGCATTCCCTTCCGTCCTGACATTGTGCGCCTGCACACCTCCGCTACCCGAGGTCTTGCGCCTGTGGGACTTTCTCTTCGCCTACGGGCCTCACCTGAACATTCTCTGCATCGTGGCCCAGCTCATGGGCATGCGGGACCAGCTGATGAGCTCGCCGAGGTAAGCTGCTTTGCACAAGTTGGAGTATCAGATCACTAACGAAAGTCCAGCCCTAACAAGCTCTTGCGCTCGTTCCCTTCGCTCCAGGCGGATAAGATTATTGAACGCACGCTCTGGATCATTGAGAGAATACCACACGACACATACGCCGCCATTGTCACCCACGCCCAGTGACAGATCAACTACGACCCAGGGGTTCGGAACACGAAAAGACGAGTCCTTTTGTGATGAATGTCGCAACACCCATTGTACTATACCAAAGACCTTTACGACTTGATGATGGAAACTCAAAAATACGGATGGGGGTACCGAGACGAGGCTTAATGATACGATGCAGCCACGGGTCCAGGAACACGAGAAGCACGATGAAGGGGGGATGACAAAGGAAGCACGTTGCGCCCCCTGATGTATATATGTTGAACTTAATTAATATGATTTTATGCCGACGAAGGATGTCTGGTCGTCTGACGGGGTGGCGTGAAGCCCTCCTCAACTTGACACAAACATGAGGCCGTCGCCATGAACATCGTTGGAGGTTTGCTGTTTTCCGGGCTCATCCAAAAATGAAAATCTCGGCTGCGCTGCCGGATAGGTTACGCCTTCCTACCTACCTTGATGATACAGCCAGCAACACCTACAAACTGATCCGCATGCAGGGCTAGTATGGTGGCTCAAGTAGGCTGGCCGTTGGCAGCCGTTGCCTAGCGTCTACTGAAAGTGACGGTCAAAAGTGCAGACTTATGAGCATGGTAGGCTCGGTCTTCGAAGGTAGAGCTGGGCTTTCAGCCTTTTTCTTTGTTCCTTCTTTCTGTGTTTCCTTACTTCAGGATTCCATCTACCTGTATTATTCCCAAGGTCACGACTACTGCTCCCGCTTCCCGAGTTCATCTTACGATAGCCATCATCTTTCGTTGGTCATCTACTATATTCGGTGTCCGTTATCACAACGAGAGAATACATCAGGACCACCAGAGAAAGTGCCATCTTGGGTAAGGGGATCATCAGCTTATGCTTCTACGTATAGAAGACGATGGTCAAGAACATCATTTTCAGTCTGTTGTCATCAAACACGTCGTGATTATCTATCTGGTGATATTTCTGTAGGATTCCCAGCTTCTACGACAGGCGAAAGATGTTTATATCATTTTTGCTGGGGCTCCTCTACGCATGGCAACGATCAGTGAAGACCTATTTGCGTGAATCCGCTAGCGTCCAATTATGATTGATCTAATATACGAAATAGCTTAGGTTTATTGTCTTTGTCTTAGATTATCCTGGTCAAAATCGTCGTGCTCTTTCTTCTCCTCCAGGCCGTTGGAAGCATTGTTGCCCGTCAGGAGCTCACCTGTTTGGAGATACATCTACCGCAAAGTGACAGTGAAAGATCAACACCACCTTTCAGGCGTATTCTCAAGTATAGTAATCAGAAGAAGAGGGAGACTGGCGGACAACATTGACCTGCAGAACTCCATGTGCCGACAGCAGCAATGAACTAAATCAGGTGCTAAATGGGGCCATTTCAAGATTTCTGGTATAATCCTCCCACCACCATCATTGCCGCCCTCAAGTATTGGATCACAAACCACGAGAATTCATAGATGTGTTCAAACAGAATGACAGTGCGCTGAAGTCTCTAGACATCCTGCCCAGTTGTCTGTGGGCCAGAGCGGTACCTACTCTGCTACTACGACTTTCTATAAAACGGACATAGATTGCAAAGTGGCTATAGACTGGGCTTTCTCCGTAATGTAATCCCAGGCTTGATTCGCTCGACTCTTGTGGCTGACACTTCTGGTAGTGATTTACGTCAAATGAATCCATACCGAGCAAGGCGCTGTGATTAGACAGTTCTGATCACAAACGTGATTGAAATAAACACGAAACGTCTGAAGACACGGGCGGATAGTGACGAAGAAGCAACCACAGGTATATGTCTATTCAACAGAACCTAGCATCGGCCCAACTTCTGAATAGCTTTCACTTCCATTACACTTTCAAGCTCACCAACCCGGCCAAATTGTCAAAAAAATACAAAGGCAGACATTGGTTTGTGAGAAGGTAGTTCTTCGCCGTCAGATATCCTGTTGCGTAGTGACTTGGGGATGCTCATCTCCTCAAAGGTCTGCTTTGAGGAAAAGCAGTTTACGCTGCGACTATCTGGTTATATGAATGATACAACACAAATTATGGTAGAGTGGTTCTTCAAATTGATCATAAGTAGGATATCCGTTGTCCTCCAGGACCTCCCCGCTAGAACGTGCTCATATGTTGACAAATGAATGAGCTGGAATGTGGCAGCCGATGATAATAGCTCCGTTCTAAGTATCCTAACTCTTTCGAAGGACAATACTCCATCCAAGGCGACAGATACTGGTGATAATTTCAGCTTGAGCTTAGGTAGTATTGCCTTGAGTGAGTTGTAGCCTCACTTGTGATGTTTGCATCCCGCATTGCAAGGGATGATCCAATAGAAGACAGACGGAAATGACATCCATTGCTTTGTTGTTTTCAGCCATCACAGCATACTAAAATTATATTTAACCTCGAGCAAGAGAAACTAGCAGTAGTGCTGTGATACAGATAAACAGAGGCGAACGCGGGTTGGACGAACAGGGCTTTTTCGGCACACTATACAACAACAGGTCAAGGGTCTTTTAATTTCTCCAGAGAGCCCAGATCATATTTTTTCTTCAAGCCTTCAGGCTGAGCCTCAGGGAACCCTTTCCGGATTCATGACGACTCGATGGTGAAATACAACCGTTGCTACAGGTCAGCCCAGCACTATCTTCACAGGTGTAGTTTTTCTCAAGCATTCACATGCGAATAACATGAAAGTGAGGGTGAAGAACAACGACGAAACCAAATGTCGCATCATGCAGAGAATGCCTGACTTTACAGAGCCTCACCAGGCGAACCCGCACCGAGTATACGAGACGCGTCTTGCTGACTTCTCCTCTCGAGATGGAATTGACCGTGTCGTAGTTGTTTGATTTGAAGTGTGCTGAATGAAGTTCCCAACGTATTAATATACTTGCCGACTGACATATGATGTGTTGACTGCCTCTGTGGTCGTTAGCTGCCTTGTGTCCCAACACCCCCCATGTATGAGTATAAGTTGATTCTCTGTGAGGGACTTTCTTTCCTTTCCGCAGAAGCAATGATAGCTGCTAGAAAATTCGGTGGACGCGAGGGCAGTATTGGCGGCGATGATTTACACAACACGCAATACATGGCTTCACGTTCATTTTGATCGAGTAGGCTTTGGAAAAATAACAAAATATTGCTTCGTCACTTCTAAACATTTCTGTAAAGCTATTCGTGATTGAATAGGGATTATTCAGACTTCGTACCCCTAGCGATGTTGTTTCGTCATGCTAATCAAACTGTCATCCCCTCTCGACTTTCTACTACATACATACAATGTCCGATCTCGTGTTGGACAATTTTCCTTTCTTATCATACCTTTGTCATGAATCGTCAAACAAAAGAAAACAAGCCTTGGTCAAAGTACCCGGCTGCGTGACATCCCCGCGATGTAGACTTCCCAGCACCCAGCACCCAAAACTCCAGTCCCTCCATCTATAGTTATAATCGCTAACATCTTGGCAAATGGGTATCCCAAACTCCTCTACTGCTCCAACTTTGAACGCTGCGCCTGATCATGCGCCATCTTCTCCTCTCTCCTCGGTCTCTCGTCGTCGTCGCTGCTACTGTGATCAGACACACACGTCGTAGACGGCAGGACATGATCTATAGAGTGCGACGTGATATCGATGGTCGTGCGGACGTTGATCACCGGCCTGGGCCAGGGCTGAGGCTCCCGGTGCTGATACCTCTGCCCGAGGTCCGACGACGGCCTGGACTCGGGGTACTCGTGCTCGTCGCTGCCCCTGTCTTCCCGGGCGGTCTTGTTGAGCTCAATGTCAGAGCCCTCAGGCGACAGCGCCCTCTCGATGTCGTCGTACGTGCGGATGGTGGAGTCGCTGTGGTCTGTGATCCCCTTCGTCCGGGGAGTGGCAGCCTCTTTGTTGATGGGGTGGCCAGAGCTGGGTCCTGAAGGACGGGAGTGTTTGCTGTTTGTGCTCCATCCGAAGCCCCAGCCTTGGAAGAGGGGGCGCATGCTGGTCACTGAAGCGGCGATAATGCCGAGGGCGGGCTCTAGTACGGTCCAAATCGCGATGTCACTATTGACAGGATGTCAGCATCGTCTCTGTGACAAGGTGGCGGTCATACTTACATCGTCTCGTATAGGAAGTCCGTGGAGATAGCGAGACGTCTGATGAAGGGAATCCGAATGATGAGAGCTACACCGGCACTACCATGGCATTAGTAGAGGCGCCTGTCAGCTATGGGATTCATTCACTTACACCATGCCCATGCTGAGAAGCACGGCGACCAACGCCTTGGTCCGGCGGTTGAGATTGACATTCCACAACAAGGCTATCGGTAACAACCCGATACACCAGTCCGAAACCGCCGAGATAATGCTGTGCGCGATGGTGGCGTCGGGGACGATGTTGTAGTTGATGCATTTCCCCTTCTCGCCGTATAGCTGTCTCCAAAAGTATGAGGGCGGGCTGCACTGGAACGTCATGATGAAGAAGTAGGCGATGGAAATAAGCAAGACGATGACCATGTTGACGTAGATGACCCATCGGTGGACCTTGTTGAGGGCGAGTCGGAGGAGTAGCAAGCAGATGGACGTTCGGATCGCGAGGGTGATGGGCGAGTAGATGACTTCGCAGATGTACCACGCCCTTAGGGAGATGGCAGCTTGTTCAACCGTGAGCTCTGTGAGGTGTTTCCCGGTGGCGCCTTGGATGACTCCGTGAAGCGCGACGGCGCCGTAGACTGTGTACATGATCTGTCCTTTATGTGAGTATGGCTGACGGGGAATCGAGACATCTCCAGACTTACCATTGCGAGGAAGATGAGGTAGTCATCTGCTCCAACACTCTTCACGATCCGTACCTTTACGTACGCTCTGGCGAGTGTGAAGAGGCCAGCCGCGATGAGGAAAGACAACTGCACTGCGAACAGCGTCATGCCACGGTTGTGGACATCGCCGTGAGCGTCTCGCGCAAAGATTAAACTCGTGTTGTCCATGTTGACAGAATTACAATAGCTTTGTTTGAGGAACAAGGAGAAACCGCCATCAACCGTCCCATGATCATGGGATGGGGAGGGGACTTATAAGTCCAGCCTCCAGGCAAAGTCGTGCCGGCCCCATCTGTCAAAAAAGAACTCCTCTGGTGGGGGGCCTAGAAAAAGAAATTGAAAAAGAAATACGGCGTTCATGGAGGGTTCTCTGGCGGTATGACGGCGAGCGGGTTTCTTGATCAGGTACGTCTGCAAGCCGATGGATTGAGGAGCACACTCGCATCTCCCGTGCAGGGTCGTGCAGGGGTCAGATACTTCCGTGTCCCAGGTTTTGAGTGATTCGTTGGGAAAGTAAGATCAGGGCCGTCTATATACGGACTGCTTGTATGCATACATGTAGGAACGATATTGCCAGCTGACAGGTGCCCATCTTCGAAGCCCTGGTATGTCTACGGCCCCGAGTGGCTCCTCTGCAAGTGGTATGCATCTTGAAAGAGGCGAGAATCCACAGCTGGAGAAAAGAAACCCCCACTGTCAGAATTCGGCTACCAACATGATCGAGAGATCAGACGAACAGAGACTGCTGGTGTAACAGGAATCGTGGCTGGACGAGTGATTTGGAAAGAGGAGTCGGGCAGATACTACTCCCGAATGCTACGACTTCCATGAGAAACGGTCGACTGGCGGCGTGAGAAGTGCCGTCGCCAGGCAGAGAAACTGCCCGTGACCAAAGCTCCTCTGACCGGGTCTCTTCATCCTTGATTCCGGGTATCATATGAGACTCGGTTCCTGAAGCAAGATTGAAATATGATATATCTCGCATATCAGTCCTAGGCTTTGAGGGTTGGATCTGAAGCCCACATTGTGGGATCTTGGCGCCGCCTGATCACAACCGTGCTTCTAAGCCTCGATTACCGAAGGCATGATGTGTCACCTTCTGCAAACGCAGAATGTTGCGTGATGCCGAAGATGTCTTAGCTATCACGTCTTGCAGATATCACAGTGGCGGAGGGTCCGTAGCCGTCGAACGATCTGGAGATTCGTCAGTACGCTATGGCCATTCGAATCCCACGAGAAGAAGAAACCATCAGAACCAGCTTTGGGCCTCAATTTTGGGAACAAAGAGGCCTTCGCTCGATCGCTCACTTCTCGTTTGTGATATCCGGTATGGAGCAAGCTCGATTTTAGCCGTCTGGCTCGTTGCTCTCTATCGACCTGGTCCACATCAGGTTTAAAATATTACCGCCCCCATCAATTTCGATAAACTTTTCATTTTTCGTATTGCGATCCAGCAAAGTACCGACGGCGATTTCAAAGTTCCGCCTGACCGTGAAATTAGCACGAGGTAGATTGCTGCTGATTCTGATGGGAGACACAGAGCTACCCTGGATGATCCGTCCGAATCCTGCCATCTCCTTAGACTCTCCTCGGGGCAGGGCTGGCAAAGGGTGTCGTACGATTGTAGGAAATAAGGCACGTAAGGTAAAGTGACATGCATATCACCCACATTGCAAGATGGACAGGTGCGATGGGTGGGTAGCAGCCGAGAGCTACATCCCAGGAGTACCGGCCGTAGGCCCAAAGCTCAGCCTTTCCCGCCCCAGGTCCAGGGGTCCTTTACGAGCCACTGGGGCACGTCGGATTGATCGGCCAACGGTCGTGAGCGCTTGGCCTGCGAGGTTGTCGAAAATGTGGGCGCGCAACGGGGAAGACGGCCCAGGCCAAGCCGGCGCAAGAGTCCAAGACTTCAAGTGACCTGTCAAATGCAACAGAGTGGGCAATGAGCAGAGGACCCGGACTGTGAGCAGAAAGGATCGGATTCTGGCCGTATATTCGTAACGGCTGACGGTTGCTTTGTAGGATGGGCAAGAGAAAAAAAGAAAGGTGTTGGCGCTATGTGGAGGGGAAGTCGTGGTGGAGGTCGAGCAGCAACGCTGCGGAGGCCAGGGTGGCACAGGCCCGGGGGACCTCCGGAGGCAGGGGCCGAGGATTCATCTCGCCAATCGATTGGAAGAGGGCAACTGTGCCAGTCACGATACCGAGGGTTCCTACTGGGGCAGATCTCTTGATGCTGGGCAGGTGCCGCGGTGGCATTCGGAGCGGGACATGTTTGCCTGCCAACGTCTCAAAGGTTGCATCTGACAAGAGCTTGGGGCAGCCTACCGGCCGAAGCGCACTTCGAGGAAGGCCTTTGATGTGACCCGGCCTGCGCGGCATCATGCTGTGCTTCAGGTTGCGAGACGCCCAGGGCGACGTCGAGATCTGAGGTGACAGCTCACGAAGCGGACCCGGCGCTCCTTGTCCGTCCCTGGTTCCCCGGCTGCACAATGCATTGATGTGGGATGAACTGTACTGGGCCGGGCCATCAAGTTTTCGTTGCCCTGGCCGAAGCCGCGCACAAAGAAAACTCTGTCGAAATCCTGCAGCCTGTTCCTTTCTTTTGTGGTTTCTCGTGCGATCGATTCGAAGAGTATTTTCGTCGTCGCTGTTGTTGGACCCGATACACGAGAAATGACCAGCCAAAAAAATGACTCGTCAGTTCAAAGTATCTTTGAGTGGTCCGGAGACCCTCTCCATTATCCGCTACTTTGGCAATTATGCGCCGCTACTGACTCGCTCGGTTTCTTTTCTTCATCTCCTCGGGTCTTTTGCAAAATGTCTCTCGGGAGTCGGGAACGGCTTGCCAGCCACGTTCGGACTATGTCGGGCAGTGTCTAGCCTTGAGAAATGGCGCAGAGAAGTTGTCTCGTGGTGTAGTGTCGAGAACACCAAAGGTTGCCCGTGTATATTAAAAACTACAGGAGTCACCGTTGTCCTCGATACCCTCCAATTTTGCTTGGGATTAGATACCGTCCACTCGACGCAGGAAACTAAAGGCTGGACTGCCAATAACAGCTCTGATATGCCGTTTTGCCATCGCTGCGAACGCCGGCGCTGGCCTCTGGAAAATGAAACCTTTTGGCCCGAGGTCGAGCCGTCGAGGAAAAAGAAAGCGTTCTAGTTTGATGGTCAGATTATGACGTTGCGAAGGTGGGTCCTCTCTCGCTTCAGGACACAAGTGGCTGAACAGCGGAGGAGTGAGGGGTAGAGCCACGAAAAGTGAAATAACAAACAACCGGAGCTTGGTAAGCGTACTTCGGACGTTCAAATTGGGACCGCTTCGGCCTCCGACAGATGTTCAGAGATGTGCCCCACATTGACACCGATCGCCGTTGTAGTCGCGGGTCTGGATTGCGGAGGCGGGGCCGAGATGCACAGACCTTCCGGCCGAAGTCTCCGGACGATCGATCGAAGTCATTACGTCGACATTACCGTAGCGAGACCCTTTGAATCAGTTGATGTGAGTCCTGCACAATGCTGTGTCCCATCTGTTGTTTCGTACGCACGTGGTAAAACCACTTAGGGCAGTGTAGAAACGATTGAATACATCAATCGGTTCATCAAAAAGAAGATACCGTTGAGCGGTGAATATGGCATCCTGGAGTAAACGCTCCGGCCAGGGCCGTCAGCAAGACTGCACAATCTTTTGCCGCAAAGACACTGATTTTGGTGCATGCATCATGACGAGCAAGGGAGTAGCGCCTGGGCGTCGACCATGTAATGTGCCTGCAATTGCAGTCACGATGACGTCGATGATGAGGTATGTGGATAACCCGCCTGCACCATGCCTTCCTCGGTCGAAGACATATACAGAAGGAAGCCGCTTGTGAGCTCATCTCAATCATCCGACGGTGCTTCATTTGTGATTTGCACCTTACCCAAACACCACACTTCAGAGTTTCTCCAGCCCATATTGCAAACCAAGATTACACGAACGCACTTGCGCCAAGATGACGGACAAGTCTCAATTCCAAGAGGGTATGGCACACAATGCCTCTGTAATAGCACCAGCACTAATTGAACACCAGGCCACAGCGTCCCGGTGACGGATCAGAGCTTCCCAGGAAAGGAGGGAAAGCTGCCCATCACCCCTCAGTTTGATCGCATTCCAGACGGCCATGGCGGCTCAAAGCTTTACCAAGCTGCTGGAAAGCTCAAGGACAAGAAGGCCATCATCACAGGTGGCGACTCGGGTATCGGTAGAGCATCCGCCATTCTGTTCGCTATGGAGGGTGCCGACTCACTCATCGCCTACCTGAAGGAGGAGGAGGAGGATGCACAGGAGACCAAGAAGCGCGTCGAGGCCTACGGCCGAAAGTGCTACCTGGTTCCCACTGACCTCACCGACCGTGCAAACTGCCAAAAGGTCGTCGACGCGGCAATCGAAAAGATGGGCGGCATCGACATTTTGTTCAACAACGCCGCATACCAGATGATGAAGGAGAACATCAAGGACCTCTCCGAGTACGTGAATGACCTTTGTATGTGAGACTCGATCACTGACGGTGCTTTCAGGGACCAATGGGTGCATACGTTCAACGTCAACATCCATTCCTTCTTCTACCTCTCCAAGTACGCCCTGCCTCACATGAAGAAGGGTTCGACCATCATCAACAACGCGAGCATCAACGCCTACGTCGGCCGTCCAGACCTGCTTGACTACACTTCGACGAAAGGTGCCATCATCTCATTCACACGAGGCCTGAGCAACCAGTTTGTCGACAAGGGCATTCGTGTCAATGCCATCGCTCCAGGACCCGTCTGGACGCCGCTCATCCCTGCCACGATGAACGAGGAGGCACAGAAGCAATTCACCGCCCCAATGGGCCGTCCAGCGCAGCCCTCTGAGATTGCGACCTGCGTGGTGTTCCTCGCATCGACTGACAGCTCATGCATCAGCGGCCAGACAATTCACTGCAATGGTGGAACCATCGTCAACGGTTAAGTCGTGAGAGTTGCACACATTGGGCCAGTAGGGCACGTACACTAGTCTAGTAATTAGCCGGTGCAACCAGATGAATAACGTATGACCCATTTAATCTTCGGCTTTACATCCGACGATGCAAGCCTCTTTGCGGGGTAACTTAATCAGGCCAAGCCTTAGTCTCGGTCTGCAATAATGCCTCGCCATTTCAAACAGATGGCAAGAGAAGACAATCGTGAGCTCGAGTTGTCTAGAAGCTTGCCTCGTTGATCATCCCCAATAATTGCTTGGAGCATCGTTGGAGGCACTGGACGCCGTAGACGGCAGAGCTAACCCATTCGGGAGGACAGCATGGATGAAACAGGGGACCGGGATGAAACATGCCCAACCACAGGCCTGACAGGCTGCTAGCCAGCTGCTAGAAGGCAGCGGGGACGACGCGCTTTGCATGACCTGCATTTCGAGAGTGGTTCTGATGCATTTTGTGCATATCCGTCCATATTGAGGCGTATTACCACCGGATCGGCGACTTCTTTTCATTGGACGAGGTGGACGTCTGCTGTTTAGAGCGAGACCGCAGTAACGGTCGCGCCCCTTTATCTTGCTTTCGTTGTTGACTTGACTTGACTTGACTTGACGCGACAGAGCCGAGCTTCCGTGTGTTTAGATAGACGTGCCAGTCGGGGAGCTACGGTGGCTTTCCCGGGCAACCATGTGCTGTTGAGTTTCCGTGTCAAAAACGTGTATTTGCTGAGGCTCGTGGTGAGATAGTTTTGCCACGTAAACTCTGCGGCAACAACAACACAGCAGCGCCGATGCAAGCTTACGTTGGGCGGGTTTGATGGCGGCTTAGATAAGAGTCAATGACGGAAGGGCAGTGGATATGTTCGCGTATCTGATTGTTTCACCGCATCACGGGTCGCGGATCTTTTAGCCCCCAGATTCGCAAATTGTCAAAGTGCCTTGCGGACGACGGGGTATCGATGCTGGGCGCAAACCACTCCACGGGTTTCTGCGACATGACAAGTCGAGGCTTTCTTCGGGTCCCGAACATGTTTGGGGAGAGCTTGACGTCGTTCCCGCAGGCAAGGAGCAGGACGGAGTCATGTCGCCGTGTTCTTGGGCGGCGGGATGCAATGCAAACAGAGATCGATGGGAAACTCTATTGAAGCTTGGTGGTATTGCTGCGGGCCGTTGCTAAGGAATGACATTCTGACACGGGGCAGCACCGCGCGACTGGGCAGCATTCTTTGTACTCTTTTAGGCCGGCAAATAATGCTCCTCCCCCTCCGTCCCCTTTGTCTTCCCAGCAGGCTAGGTAGTGTAATGTAGCTAAGGTAGTCAGTCGTAATCCAATGACAGGACGGCGCTGACTCTGGGGGCCTGCCAGAAATGGGCCCCTCCCATGGTGCCTCCCATGGTGCCTCCTCCAAAATGGAAGGCAAGCGTGGGCATGAGCGTGGGACGTGTCGCGCTTTCCCCTTCCTCGTCGCTCCCTTGTCGCAGGCCCATCCCTTCATTTTCCTTCTCCCCCTTCCAGAACAACTCATCTGGTCTGCCACTGCTTGTTTTGGGCTGAGCCACCCACACGTTCTCCATCCGTTGTTTTTTCCTTTCTTTTTCACTTCTACAACGAGTGTCGCCGTCGACTCCTTCATGCCTCTTGTCCCTCTGGCTTGCTGCTCTGCTTTCTTCTGCCGTATCTGCTTGGGCCCCTCGAGCCGTGCACTCTAGCAGCTGCGAAACCCCACAAGGATCAAGTAAACAAACGAATACCCTACCCTCTGTCGCATCGCATCGCAGTCGCATTCTTCACCCGAATACACCCACGACGCCGGCAACATGTCTGCCACGTACAAGCAGTTTCTGGCTGCTCCCAACTCGTCGCTGCTCGCGCCGAACGCCACCCTCCTCTACATCACCACCACCACCACCATCAATGGACCTACCGACATCATCAAGCACCTCAACACCCAGCGCAACCAGCTGAAGAAGAAGAAGGAGGACATCCTCGACGTCGTTGAGGGTCGCGATGCCATCGCCGCCGAGATTGAGACCTCGCTGGAGTTTGTCACCAGTGGAGGTGCCTACCTGCCTGGCCTTGACGACAACTTCTTGGCTGACCGCACCGTCCACCTGCCAATTGTTTGTCATGCCCCGCGCTCCAGGAGTCTACACTTGAGTGCGCGACCAAGCTAACACGAGGCCCTCCACAGATGCACGTCGTCAACTTTGACAGCGAGGGCAAGATCGCCCAGATCCGCCAAAGCTGGGACCAGGGATCACTCCTCAAGCAGCTCGACATTATCGGAAAGTCCGGCCGCAACTGGCCCATCCGTGACAGCCAGGAGCAGATCAAGATGATCACCAGGGGCCTGAAGGCCACCGGCAAGGTCACCGACGCCCCCGACACCAACGAGCTCATCAACCGGTCCCGTGGCAGCTCGACCAATGCACTCCGCGACCCCCATGCCTCCCTCTCTCTGTTTGCGCCGAGAGAGCAGCAGGCTGAAGAGGGCCCGGCCAGGTCCGTCGTGTCACCTTATGCGGGTACCCGACCTCAGCAGCGGTCTTTCAACGATATCATGAGCGACGAGCCTGCCGACGAGCCCGCCTCTCCCAGCGCAGGACGCGATCGCGTTGCTCCCAAGATCGGTGCCGGAAAGAACTTCCAGCCCAGCCGCCTGTTCGACGCGGACGAGCACGCCCACGTCCCCGACAGCCCCGAGGAGAAGACGTCACCCGAGAAGTTCATCCGTCCCAACCCCAAGAAGTTCCAGCACTTTGACTTTGCCGACGGCTCGGACCCGCAAGACACCCCCAAGCCCGCCGACGGCCGCCCGAAGGCCGGCAAGCACGACAGCAGCTGGGGCTTCGAAGACTTTGTCACCCCTCAAAAGGTCAAGCCTACCAAGACTCTGCGCACCCAGGACGTGCGCCACTGGGATACCGACGTGACCACCGCCGTGAAGGAGACCCCGGTCGCCCGTCCCGTTCAGCAGAAGCCCCGCCGCGATGCCGAGCCGCACTTTGAGTTCCAGGATGACGGCCCGGACGGCGAGCCTAGACCCGCCGGACGCCCCAAGGGTGCGGCGCACAACACTGGTCTGCACCTCTACGAGAACAACCTGTACAGCGAGGACGGCAAGCCCCTGCCTGGAACCGATTCTGATCAGGCCCTTGGTAACATCACCAATCTGAACAACCGCCACAAGGACTTTGACCCTCACTTCGCCATGTCCGACGACTCTCCCAGCCAGCAGGCCGGCCTTCAGCAACGGCCCGGTGTTAGCGACGCTCGCAAGAAGGCGGTGAACATGATGAACGCCAACTGGGAATCCTACGACAGGTCCCCCGCATCCCAGAAGGAAAACATCGAGCCGGCGCCCACGGGCAAGGCCAAGGGTGGCATTCACATTGCCGGCGATGGCATGGGCTCCAGAAAGGCGGTCGAAGACCAGGACGGCGACAAGCGTGGTATCAACATTGCCGGCGACGGTATGGGCGGCAGGAAGGGCACCAACCGCAACTGGCTGTACGGTGGAGATGACGACGAGGAGGACACCCCGAAGGCCGTTCCGCCCAAGGGAGGTTCCAAGCCCGCTGGTCTGACCGCGGCTCAGAAGAGCTTCTGGGACTTTTAATCGACGCCTCTAGATCGGCCCGCCGCATACACCATACGCGCAAGACCTCCGGGGCCACCCTTCTTTGTTTTGTTACGACTCAGATGTCTTGCATGCTGCCCACGATTCACGGGAGCGTTTATTGTTGCGATATTACCAGACCTTGTCTTGTTTACTCCAGAGCGGTCCAGCGCCTGCCCAACTCTTTGGGGGGATGCCTAGCCGAGAAATGCCTGGATGTAAGAATGTGTATTAGCCCCATCCCTACCAGAGAAAGAAGGTTTTGTTGGATCAGGGGTGTTGAAGAGTGAGGAGAGAAAAATAGGGTCCTCTGTTATTGTAAAGTTGCAAAGCCCATGATATCCAACAGACAACTTATTCCTATTCATTCAACGCATTCTTGTTCCATGTGAGATGCCTACCTGTGCACCCAGACTAGGCCCGGGCCGTCTCGTGCCAATGGACGATGTAACATGTTTGCAAACTGGCGGAGCAAGCGAAGAGCCCTGAAAAACGAGCTTGAGAAAATTTCATTTCATTACTGCCAAAGGTCTGAGACCAGGAAACGTCCCTCCTAAAAACTGGTATCCACCAAAAGTTTCCCATGACATCCAAAACGCCGCGCTAATATCCCATCGCTTACAATTCCCAACCAAAGAAACACACACAAAAACTCAGCACAAAAACTTGTAGACCCGCTTCCACCTCGGCCAAGTCCTCTTCTCCTCCTCCTCCTGCGCGACGAGGATGCCGAGGTTAAAGTCGCGCCGCCCCGTCGTGAGGTCCATGGCGTCGGTCTGGATGAAGGTCGTGCGGAAGTAGAGCTTGTGGGCGATGTAGAAGATGGCGACGATGGGGAAGGCGGCGTACCTCAAAAAGAAGTTGCGCGCGACCCACGAGGCCTCCTCGTTCTCCCAGCCGACGGGGAAGGCGCCGACCCAGAACTGGGCGATGAGGACGAGGATGTTCATGGCGAGGCCGCAGTATGAGCCGGTGACGCCGACCTGTGAGCGGAAGGCGAGCTCGTGCAGGCCGTGGCCCTTTGCGCGCCAGGCGTGGCGGAAGCGGATGTGGCACAGGCAGATGGAGGCCCAGGTGAAGACGGAGGAGAGGCCGGAGATGGCGAGCAGCCAGTCGAGGACCTCGTCCTGGGCGTCGAGGTCGGCGAGGTAGGCGATGAGGCCGACGGCGGAGGCGACGCCGATTGCGGTCAGGGGGCGGCCCTTGCGGTCGACGTAGGAGAGGAAGCGAGGCGCCTGCTGCTGGTCCGCGAGGGCGGCGAGGGTGCGCGAGGAGCCGAAGACGGCGGAGTTGCCGACGGAGAGGACGGCGATGAGGATGACGGCGTTCATGACGGAGGGGAGGACGTCGATCTTTGCGTTCTCGATGGCGATGACGAAGGGCGAGGTGGTGATGTCCGCGGGGGAGGTGGCGCCCAGCAGGCGCTTCTCGTTGTACGGGACCAGGAGGCCGATGAGGGTCAGGGCGACGACGTAGAAGAGCGTGATGCGCCAGAAGACCTGCTTGATGGCCGTCGGCAGGGACTTGCGCGGGTTGGCTGTCTCGGCTGCCGCGAGGCCGACGAGCTCGGTGCCGGCGAAGGCGAAGGCCGCCGTGACGAAGACGCTGCAGAGGCCTTTGAAGCCGTTGTGGAACGCGCCCGGGTCGTGCCAGTAGCGGCCGCCTATATAGCCCGAATCTGGGGTGCCGCCGCAGTTGAGGACGATTCCGAGGAGGCTTTGAGGGCGCGTGTTAATGAGAGGCAGCCTTATCGAGGGCGTTTGTATGGGACTTACATGAAGCCAATCACGGCGATGACTTTGATGATTGAAAATATGAATTCGGCCTCGCCATATCCTTTTACGCCGAATAAGTTGATAGCTATGATGCCGACCAAGAAGATTGTGACGAATATCGCTTTGGTGATGCGTCCGTCCCAGTACGTTATCGTTATGGAGGCGGCTATGATCTCAAGGGGAAGCACTATGAGCCATTGTAAGGCGTAGCTGTAAGGCGTTAGTCTGAAGTCGACGATGCGGACCTGTACGAGTGAACTCACTTCCAACCCATCGCAAACCCCCACGAGGGGTCCAGGAACCGCGTCGAATACGCCGAAAAGGAACCCGCAACGGGGAACGCAACGGCCAGCTCTCCCAGCGCCTGACAGGTGCAGTACAGCATGCCGCCGACCAGCGAAAACGCTATCAGCAACGACGCCGGCCCGCCGACCTCGAGCGCCGTCCCCGATGCCACGAACAGGCCCGTGCCGATGGACCCGCCGATGGCAATCATCTGCAGGTGGCGGCCCTTGAGCTTCCTCGACAGCAGCGAGTTGGAGGTCTGCAGGTTCGCGTGGTGGATGTCAAAGTAGTGCACGCCGTTGAGGACGCGCTCCTCGCCGCCACCGGCTTCCTCCATGTCGATGGACGAGTGCTTCGGCCGCGGGTGCTGGCCCGGGTCGCGGCGGAAGGACTCGAGCACGCGGGCGAAGACGCCCGGCGCCGGGGACGGGTCGTAGATTGGCTCGCGCCGCATGCTGTAGCTGCTCCCCAGCGTGAGGGAGTCTTCCTTGATCTTGAGCGTGCTGAGTTCCACGTCTTCGTTGTAAGGCGCCATTCCCGTTGCTGCTTGTGGTGGGCAAGGCTTCGCCGGGGGGGGGGGGTATAGGGTTCTCTGTGGGTTTACACCGCTTCGTCGCGGGGTTCGTCGATCGTCGTCGGCACGGGACTGGTACCGTGATTCCGACTCGCTTGCGATATTCGATGTTTCGATCGATCGGCGTGGCTAACGGACTTTAGGCGTCTGTCAGCTCCGCGGAGGACCTCATGCCTGTCGCAGAAGGGAACAGGGTGGTGATGTTGGCCGCTTGGGAAAATGCCGTCGGGTGGTTCGAGTCGTATGTCGGGTATCGTGCTTCGTCGTCGTAGCAGATCGCCTGGCTTCGCAAGATTGCAATTCAAAGATTTGAAAAACAACGGCGCGACGCAAAGGAGCCTGGCTACCTAAGGGGGTTGGGTGACTCGCCCGTGTAGGGAGATGCTTATCATGCTGCTGCGGCTGTGGCACACCGAAGCAGCGCAGTCCAGTTGCCGCATTGGCGTCGAGAGAGGATGGGCTGGCGGCGGGAAAGGGTGCCTTTCGCTGCTATCTGGCGACAAGGATGTTGCCCGCAACGCCAATCCATCCAACCTGTCGGCGACAAGACGAACGATATCCTCGAACGGGTTAAAGGCCGGGCTGGGGTGGTCAAGGTTCGTTCGGCGAATGGGGGGGACGAGTCGCCGCGACCCAGGCCCCCGATTGAATCCTTTTAGCTTCCTGCCAGGGCTTGTCTATCTCTGGTTCTCTCCCTTGAAGTGTCACATCCCGCGCTGCTGATGATGGACGTGGTGTGTACAAATATGTGTGTGGTACACATGTGAAGAAAACCCACACCATTGTCTCCCGTTATCTCCATCTCGTTCTTGGTATCCTCGCTTCCCGCATCGTCGCAATCGGCAAGGGGAGGCACATGCTTGTCCGGGGGCGCCTTATGGGGGTGCTCCAGCGCCAGCATTGCCCGCCTTCCACCTTTCGATCCACTGACTGACATGCGGGAGAGATTCGTACACCGCACTGGCCAGCTGTAGTGGAAGACCCCTCGCTCGCCATCCCCTGCCTCTCGATCCTTCAGTGATTGTATCCGTGACCTCTTACCACCTGTTTGGGAATTCCTCAGGTTTTGACGATTCGCAAATCAACCTAGCGTTACGCCTTGCGTCGTCTCTTCTAAGCTTCGCTTTGCCTTTTCGATATACTGCGCAAGATCGGCTCGTCCCGCAACGTTTGTTCGTGCTTGCCTTTGCGTTGACAACTGACACCCCCGCGCACGCACGGATGAGGCCCCATCGGCAGGCTGCCAGCCAAACTCATCCCATTTCCTAGGCGCCCAGGCCGTCTTGCGTTGGCAAGGAGCGCCGTGGCGGTTTGACGTGATCAATTCTGGGACATCTCTTACTTTTTTGCGCCTCAGCATACGAGCTATCTTGAGTCTTATCGAGCGTATTGTTTGTGATGGATATTTGGAGAATCAGTCTTTCCCGCCGTCTCCTACATTGCTTTGAAAAATTGTTCCTCTCTTGCAGCGGTGCTCTGAATGTCCATCACTTCGAATCTAGAGGCTCGTCTTGAGGGTTGTACCATCAATCATTCTTTAAATCAACGGCTGCATTATCACTCCCATCATATGAATCAAGGTACATCACAATGCTTCGTCAACCCGAACGCACGCTTACAATCTTCCAATGACATCCACTGGAAACATTTCTTACAACGCGTTTTGTAAAAGCCCAAATCACTCCTTGTACAACGCCACCTGTGCTAGTCGGCATGGATGCCTGCAAAGACACAGTCATGCTGTAATATAAACATAATCCCACACTTGCTTGGTCATTACAAGACGGGGAAGACAGTAGATGACGAGAGACGACCAAGACATGGATCCTCATCAGTCAAGCATATCAAATCAAGCCCACGGCTGCACCTTGAGCTTGCCGTTTTCCCTGGGCTTGCGCGACCATCCCGTGCTGAAAAGCTTGCCCATGTCGAAGCGAGGGAGGGGGTGCGCCTCCGTGTTGAGGACAATCTTGTCCAGGGGGAGCAGGTCGTTGGGAGAGAAGAGGAGATAGAAGTACTTGAGAGTCTCGGCCTGATGGAGCATGTCAGCAACCACTTTATCAAAGCTAGGAGCATGTAACTTACCATCCAGAAACTTTCCAGGTTGTCACGGACGACTGGGGGAATTGTGTTGGCGTTACTCAAACTGGTGAAGCCACCGCCGTCCTCGACCGAGGTGTAGTTGACGAAAGACTTGAACATCTCCCAGCCCCAGTCACGGTACTTCTGATCTCCGGTGATTCTCCACATGTAGAACAAGCTCTCAACAGTCTCTGGACGCTGCAAGTTGTGGACATCCATGGCGTGGACGTCGTAGTCCTCGCGCCACTTGGCGTGCGGGTCGGGGTCGAAGGTCGAAGGCGGATTATGGGAGGCAGAGGCAGGGGCCGGCGGGCTGTCGACGTTGAAGTAGGTGATTTCAGCGGCGAGTCCAGTTGCCATCCATTTGTACATGCCCCAGCAGGTTTGCATGAGCTCGCGAGCCAGCTTCATGTCTGCGTCCTTCTTCTTGTTCCACGTCGGCAGTCTTCTGGCTTCGGCTTCAGGAATACCCCCGGTAGCTCCCAAAGCAATCGTCCCGGGCATGAAACACACCAAGTGGTCCATCTTGGGAGACAAATCGTTCGAGAGACCGTTGGGTCGCTCTCCGAGGACGGTGAAGCCGGAAGGCTTGCTGTATGTGATGAGATGCTTTCGAACTCCCTCCAGGGCATCGTTCCACATTTCCAGGTAAATTGGCTCCTGCTTGTTCGTCTGCAGGTACTGCTTGATCAGGTACTCATAGTACGAGTCGCCGCGGGAGCCCAGGCGAATGTTGTCGCCCCTGAATTTTCCGTCCGTGGCGTAAACGAAGATGGGGACCAGGCCGTCTTGGGCACCGTTGTCGTCGACAACCTGCATGGCCTTTTCAACCTTGTCCCAGAAGTCCTTCTCGCCGGTGAGCTTGGCCAAGTACTTGAATTCGAGTTGCAGAGTCGTCGCCTCGGCAGTCGAGGAAGCACCGCCATCCGCGTGCGACTGGATGCCCTTGTACTGAGCCAGGTTGACGCTGGCCCACGGGACTCCTGACGGCGAGTCGAAGGCGGCCATCAAGCGATCGGCCAAGTCCCTCGCCTTCTCCAAGTATAGGTCTTCGCCGGCCTGGCCGGGGTCGTCGTCCTTTGTGGCAGCTAGGTCGGGGTATTCGTTCGAGAGGTAGTGGGCTGAGAGAAGGCCACCGAGCATTCTGATTGTCGTCTCGAAAGTATTGACGTCCTGGTCCTGGTCGTAGGTTAAGCCTGTGGCGAGCCATTCCCTAGCGTGAGCCAGGCGCGATGTCTGGTTCATCAAGATCATTGTGTCCAGCGAATCGACGATGATCCATCCGAGGCCCTTGGGCGCCATCTGCCGGCCTGTCTTCGCAATCGGGTGGTACTCATCGTAACCTTCAATTCAACATGTCAGCCTACACATCCAAAGAAAGTGCGTCGCAAATCCCAGCTCTTCTTGAGCCAGGTGCCACCTCGGTTGACTGTTCGGCGCCAACCCATGAGAGGCAAGCTCCCCAGCTGCAACAAACCCGTCGCCAATGCTGTCAAGCTCTGGAGCGGTCGCAAATTGGCATCGGCGAGCGGCCGCTTGTGATTGTAGTCTCGACTTACCCCATGCGTAGCGCTCGTAGGAATCCCAGCTGAGCTGGAAGGCCTCGACAACTCGTTCTCGTCGTTTTGTCCAGTCCGCCTTCTTGCCTGCTGGCTCCGCCGAGCCCAGCCATCCGTTGGTCAGCTGCGACGCCGATTGCCGGGTCTTGGACCCCTCGGAGAAGAAGCCAAACCACCAGAGGCCGGTGAAGAGCAGCAGCAGGGTGCCGATTATGGAGCGCTTCCTGCGCCAGAGGGGTCGCCACCTCCGCGAGGCATAGTACGGCTTGTCTTTGTACATGGGAAGCTGGCCCTTTGTGCCCAAGAGGTCCTCGACTCGTCCCTGGACTCCTTGGAAGAGGCCTTGGTTGCGGGCTCTGCTGTTCGCAGCGCCCGAGCCCCAATACCGATCCTCCAGTTGTCGCTGCGGGTTGCTGAAAGAAGGGACATTCTTGGGGACATTGAATGCCATGTCGATGTCGTTCAGGGCGTTGGCCGCGTTGGCTCCGGCCTCAACTGCCTTCTCCTTGATGTTTTGGGCAGCGCGGGCGGCGGTGATTTTGAAGACGTTGAGAGCTGGACTTTTGTGTAGATTGAAGGGGTCGCGGACGTTCATATTACACTCTCAGCATTGTCGCAGTGGAGACCTGGCGGTTTCGAAGAGACGCAACGGGCTGGGAAGGTGCGATTCGGCAGCGCGAGCCAAGAAGAAAGGGCAAAAACGAGATCACCCCCGGCAACGAAGCACAGAAAATGCAAATGCAGTCTACATCAATGGATGCGAAAGAGCGACTGAGACATGCGCACGCGAATCTCGATGATGTGGACTTTTATTGACTGGACCGGAGAGGCGGTATCACCCAGGCGGTAGGCGGGCCACCTAGCCAACTACCTTGCCTACTACCTAGCTACCCAGGCAAGGTACGAATACACCACGGACAGTGACGACTGTTGCCCACCAGGCGCAAATGAGCATGTCCATCTTTTCTGTGCTGTGACCTTCATCCATAAAGCCTCCGTCCTTTTTCTTCTTGTCGTTTCTGTCTCTCTCACTGTCCGTAGCCCACCCGTGCTCTCGTCTGCTTCCTGAGCTTTGGGACTCACCTTTGAGCGAGTAGTCCGTCGCGCCCAGAGCCTTCGGCACGGTTTAGCAGGCTTGGCCTCTCTTCCAACCACCCTTTGGGACCCCTGGACTTGGAAAAGGCCACCTGTAAAAGCCAGAGACCAGTCGCCAATGGCGGGCGGGCACTCCGGGAGATATGGCTGAAATGTGGATGCCAGGAGAAAAGAAGCCCGACATCTCCGGCGCGGCTCTTCGTGACCCAATGGGTGACGCTACTGCGCTGAGTGAGCCACTGTCGGGTGGACATTGGATGGATGTCACTTCTGTGAGTGGCCTGGACTGGGCCCCGTCACTCCCCTGCCAAAGTACCTACCCGCCCAGACCTCCGCTTCCCGTTGCTCGGGCCGGTGGGGTCTGGAAGGGCACACAATCGGCAGCAAGCATCATCAACGTTCCTGAGGTACTGAGACCTAGCGCGCCCAACACCGACGACTTTGATATCGGCCTGTCGCAGAACGAGATGAGAGCATCATAAGGCACACCTAAATTCCAGAAGGGATTGGAAATACGCACAGCAGATCGAACTAAAGTGGAAGACGAATCTTTGGTGATATATCAAATCGCGGCCGGGGTTCATATTCACCAAATATAGCAAATTCATCGATATCCAGACCCCGTCTGAAGCGAAGGGATTTTTTCATACCGACAGCGCCTAACAGAGACCAGACATGTCGTTCAAGGACTATCCATCGCTGGCCCCAGAAGAGTTTGCGGAAGCGTGCCACCACTTTGACAGCCAATACTGCCGCGCGACCTTGGGTCCCCTTCGACAGCGATGGAAAATGAGGGTCTGCACGGCGTTGGACACCTCCTTTGCGATGGGCGTCGAGTACACAACCTACCTGCAAATTATCCGGCCGCTGGAAGCTACACTGGACTGCGGTGATCTCTCCTTGGTTCTGGACAAGTTCTCGTTTGGAGACGGAGAGGCGCCTGGATTAAATGACGAGGCTATGATAGATGCTGAAGAGACTGATGAGGTAATGTCGCCCGATCTATCCTCGTGCGGCTCTTTGCCTGACACTACGAGATGACAGGCCGCCCTTTCCAAGCCGCGCGTCCCAGACGCCGGACATGTTGTCTATGAGGTTCACTTGCACCCGACGTATCGGATGCCATGCCTGTGGTTCACGTTGCACGGGCTGCCAGCAGACGAGCCAGCCTTCAATCTCGATACAGTCTTTCGGAGGCTAGTACCCGACGAATACAAGGACGCCCTCCGCAAGACGGGCGGCATCGGAGGCATTTCCGCCGATGTGAGTGCGAACCAGCTGTGAACCAGTCAATTATAAGTTCTGAAAGAGACCATTTGTAGGTCTGTACTAACACATCATGTCGTAGCATCACCCCCTGACGGGACTTCCCTCTTTCTTCATCCATCCATGCCTCCTCGGAGACGCCATGTCGGGGTTCGACTGTTCCAAGGAGCAGTACATGATGCTCTGGCTGGGCCTGGTCGGCGGTTGCGTTGGGCTCTGGGTGCCCAAGGAGATGGCCACGGATTCCTCCGGCTGAAGCACGCTGCATTATTCCTGCATCTCCCCTTGCTGAACTAGACTACGAGACCCCGCGGGTGCTCAATCGTCGTCGCTGTCCTCTTCCATAGCGACGTCACTGTCGTCATCCTCCTCCTCGTCGCGCTGCCGCTTCTGGCCCCGGTCGGCTGCTTGTGCATCGCTCATCGGTTGGTCACCGCTGGGAGCGGGCTTCGATGCCGCCGCGGCCTCGCCTGGTGCCGGAGCGTTGAAAATGCTTTGCTGCAACTCGGTGACTTCGACATTGGAGGCTCCGGCGGTCGAGTTCGGCATCTTGTACGTGCCGTCAAGCTTCGCGACGAAGTCTGACTTGGACTTGGCGTACTGGATCGACTGGTATCCGGTCAGTAAACGCATTTTCCCGCGGAGTGGTTTGGAAAACACACCAAAGGACGGCCGAGGAATTCAAAGCCCTCAAGAGATCGCATGGCTTGTGTGGCTGCTTGGATGTCGCGGAAGGTGATGTGTGCTTGTCCTCGCATCTTCATGGTCTTCATGGCGACAATGTCGAGAACCGGACCGTACGTAGAGAAGAGCAGATAGAGCTCCGTTCGAAGGTCGTTTTTCTGGATCTTTGCGGACGGGAGATTTGTGACGTAGAGCCTATAGACCATTAGCACACCGTCATGCAATCAGGAGCTGTGAACGTACGTCTGATTGGGAGAGATCTGGGAAACTTTGGCGGGCAGTGATGAGTTGGGCGCAAGGCCGCGAGGAGGGGCGACGGCTGCCATTGCAAGTTCGGTCGACGCGGCAATGGATTGAATAAGTCGTGGAGTGGTTCGTTTCAAGGGTTCGCAAGAGTGATCGTGAGCGCGTCGCGGGTCTGTTGTTGTGTAACTGTCGCGATCTGAATTTTTGATCTTCGTCCGGCCACCGCAGTTTGGCCTTCGGGAGCTTCCTTACTAGCGCCATGCTTCAATTGAGGGGACACCCCAGGGTGGCCTTATGGCCTGAAGTCGGTGCAGACTGAGCGACATGCTTTGCTGAAGCAGCTACGTGACCTCTGCCCCACCATGAGCAGCCGCTCGCGGTACACCGCATTGTACGCAAAGCAGCGTCTTGGGCATGTACCTAGGTGGCAGGTAAGCAGCGCATCGTCTCGCACTGCCACTCGACACTCAACATCCTCTGCTCTTCTCCACCAACACTCGTTCCCTTCCTCGACATCTCCCGCCATTCGACAAAGTAGCGGTAGTAGAGAGCTATACTCCTATCGCAGACGAAACCCTCATCATGGCGCCCCCTCAAGTCCACCACCTCTTCCACGCCCCCATCGCGGACCACTCGTTCTCAGCCGACCGCGAGACGCTGGCCATCGCTCGCGATTCCACCATTGAGCTTTATGGACACGCCGGCAACTCCTTCAAGCTCAAGGACGAGCTGAAGGGGCATGACAAGACCGTCACCAGTGTCGACATTGCTCCCAACAGCGGTCGCATTGTCTCCTGCTCCCAGGGTATGTCGATGCCTGCACCAGCCCCTCAGTCGGTCCCTGAAGCTAACCAGTTCGCCAGACCGTAACGCCCTTGTGTGGGAGCCCTCGCCGAACGGATACAAGCCCACTCTCGTCCTGCTCCGCATCAGCCGCGCCGCTACCTTTGTGCGCTGGTCGCCGTCCGAGACCAAGTTCGCTGTCGGTTCAGGTGACCGCGTTATCGCCATCTGCTACTTCGAGGAGGAAAACGACTGGTGGGTTTCCAAGCACTTGAAGAAGCCCATCCGCAGCACCATCACGTCTGTCGCGTGGCACCCCAACTCCGTCCTTCTCGCCGCCGGATCTACCGATGCCCACGCCAGAGTCCTCTCCAGCTTCATCAAGGGCGTCGACCAGCGCCCGGAACCCACCGCCTGGGGTGAGAGGTTGCCCTTCAACACCGTCTGCGGAGAGTACCTGAACAACTCTGCCGGTTGGGTGCACTCCGTTTCCTTCTCGCCCAGCGGAAACGCTCTGGCTTTCGCCGCCCACGACAGCAGCATCACCGTCGTCTACCCCAGCGCGCCCGAGCAGCCCCCTCGCGCCGTCGTCACCATCTCTACCCAGCTCCTGCCCTTCATGAGCCTTATCTGGAGCAGCGAGGATGAGATCATTGCTGCCGGCTACGACTGCGAGGCGTTCCGCTTCAAGGGCGGTGAGGGCGGCTGGGGCCTGGCCGGAACTCTTGAGTCCAAGGGCCGCCCCGGCCTCGAGGATGCCCGCGAGGAGTCCGCGCTGAACATGTTCAGGCAGATGGATCTCAAGGGCAAGGTCAAGGATGATACCCAACTCAAGACGGTCCACCAGAACACCGTCACCAGAATCCGTTCGTATGAGGAGTCAGGCGGCAACGTCACGAAGTTTACTTGTAAGTTGCACGACCGTCTTTGTCTCTTTGATTACCATGAAACTGACTTGACACAGCTACCGGCGTTGACGGAAGAATTGTCATCTGGAGCACTTAGACTACCCTACATAGCAACTTTGAATGAAATACCACAGTGTCTCAACCTACTCTTCTAGGCCTCTTCCGTACTTTCTGCCAGGCTGTCGTCCCGGCCAGCAGACCTTCGAGAAGACCGGTGAACAAGTTCAGGTCGTTGCACGCACGTATTTAAGATATCGTCAACCCAGGAGCCCTTGGCTGTTCGTCGGCGGACTCTCCAACTCCTCTTCTCAGCCCACAACATGGACTCTCCAATCTCCCCGAGCGAGTTCATCTACAACCCCCGTGGACGGCAGCGGTCGGTACAGAGCGCGACTCTGTCAATCGGTAGCCCCGTGCCAGCGCAACTAAGACCCGCAGAATCGGACGTTCAACATGGGCTGTCATACGGGCCGCAACCGCATCGACTCGACGCTCAGCGATGGCACGTTGAGTTCCGCCAACCCAGTCCAGATAACAGCTCCTGCATGCGCCAAATTGACCGAATATGCTTCGAAGCCGCTCAGAGGTACGTAGACGGCCAAGTCAACAGACATGCGCATAACAATTATCCGGCCAACGACGAACCTCACCGTCAATATGCAACAACCAATCACGGGACATTCAATGGCTTCTTTCAGATTGAAGGATACTTGTTCTCGTCCAACATCAGGCGCATTTGCGATGGGCTATGGGCGCGGTCATGGCAAGAAAGACGCGACATCTACCGGGACCGACAAGCAGTTGGGGACATGGCGAATCTCCTTGACTGGTCCTACACGATTTCGCATGTCGAAGACGACGATACAAAGAGTCGGTCGGAAGCAGAGAGATGTAAGATAGATGCTGCAAGGAAGCTATGTGCATTCCTAGGAGACTTGGAGAGCTGTGATGAGATTGAGGAGCTGGTGTTGCTTGAAAAGGAAGCCTCTCCTTGGCTGAGTTGAGCATTTGGCAGAAACCCAGCAGACATTGAAGCTCGCAGCCTCTTTGGTTTAAGTTAGAGAGGGACACGTGGGGTGGCGTCTTTCAGCGTCACTATGCAGTATGTCTAATCATGATAATCAATATCTCCACTTATACTGAAAATGTCTTCAAAGTCTGCGATCTTTTGCAAGCGTTCATAAAAGTTGAAAAGCCAGATAGAATCACGACTGACTGACAGATGCAGCTGCTCAGGCTATCTTTGACAGTCTCTCAAGAGCTCCAGGCAATCAGCGGGGTACATGCAGCTACCTACATTGATAGCGGCATGTGCCAGCAAACCACAGGTACCCTTGCCCCTGCCACCACTCAATCGTCCCGGTGTCCAGCGTCGTTGACCTCTCACTGATCTAATCCACCCCACCAACACCAAGACCGACCGAACCCAGGCCCGGTCCCTAGCGTGGGCCTCCCAGCTTCCCGCCGTGCCTTTTGTCAACCACCTTTGAACCGCTGCATTATCCTTTCACAATTTTGAGGGGAAACACGTCGTAAACGGTCGGCGATAAATATCGCGACCTTCCTTGCAGTAAGTCCTTTCCTTCGTCAGTGCTGGTTGTTCCTTCCCTGGATCTCGACAGATCTTCAGAAGCATCCAAGTTGTCTGTCGCACTGCCCGCCAAGATTACTCACCGCATACGCAGACAAACGACCCGCCACGCCGCATCGCCTGAAGGACCCCGCCAAAGCTCATTGCTCTGCCGAACGAACGACTTGCGAAGACTTCCACACACCTCTCGATACCACAACTTTGCTCCCTGGCTCTGAAAATTCTTGGGCAATCACACACACCCACCGACATGACCCAGGCGGCATGATGGAATCCTCCATGTCATCCCCAGAGCGCCAGCTCTGCGATCGCCTCAGAGACCTGCCCAGGAGATGGAACTTCCAGTACGACGACAACGCCCACCATGACCTCCTCGACATCCTCTTCTGGTCATTAGCAGGCGGCGACCGCTACATGCCTCTCTTCTTTCCGTCCGGTCGGCCCTCCCACAACCACAAGCTCCACGACGCCCAGGGCGCAGTCGAAGGCGCCGAGTACACCGAAGCCGCCCGCGGCAAGCGATGCGGCCACATATTCAAGCCTGGAGAGGCCTCCTACTCGTGCCGAACCTGTAGTACAGACGACACCTGCGTTTTGTGCAGCCGATGCTTCGACTCGACAGACCACGCCGGTCACATGGTGCGCATCAGCATCTCGGTTGGAAACAGCGGCTGCTGCGACTGCGGTGACGACGAGGCTTGGAAGGTCCCCATGTTCTGCACGATCCACTCCGAGACCGACCCGGATAAGGCAGAGGGCAAGGGCAAGCAAGCGGCCGGCCTGCCGGAGGACCTGGTGCAGAGCATGCAGATGACAATCGGCCGTGTCTTTGACTACATTTGCGACGTCATATCGTGCTCGCCGGAGCAGCTCCGACAGGCCAAGACCCTGGACTCCATTCACGCCGATGAGGAGCTGTCGCGCCTGTCCCCAGAAACATACGGCGAGGGTCCTTCCGATCACACCGAGTATGCGCTGGTCCTCTGGAACGACGAGAAGCACACCGTGGAGGATGTGCAGAATCAGATTGCACGAGCCTGCAGGACCACAGAAGCTCAGGCCCTGGAGCGCGCCACCGAGACGGATCTCATTGGCAGAAGCATTCTCAAGCGGCTCGATGACCTTGATACCTTGCTCGAGATGGCCACGAAACTGGAGCACATCAAGGTCACCGTCACTATCCGGTCATCACGCGACACATTCCGAGAGCAGATGTGCGGCGCAATGATAGAGTGGCTCAGTGACATTTCGGGATGCAGTGTCGGATCGGACCATGCCATCTTGAGGCAGACCGTTTGTCAGGAGATGATGAAGCCTTGGAGGAAGGGCAGCCTCGGCACGCACGCTGTCGTGGGCAAAGACGGCATCTATGATGAAGAGCGATTCCTCAGAAACCTTGAGCAGTCCCAGACCTTCACGCAGCACGTACTTTTGCAAATGCAGCGCATAGCCGCTCAGCAGGCAGCGCGCGCCTTCGATGCTAGTGATGACGAAGATATCGACATGGGCAGAGGGAACGGCACTCCGGACAGCGACGCGGGTGACGACGACGACGACGATGATGAGATGGACGACGACGACATCATGATGGTGGATGTTCGGGCTGAAGCTCCCGGGGACATTGGCCTGGAATGGCGCGGAAACGACCAGGCGTTGGAGGAAGACGAAGCCACCATGGCCGGGTACCCGCCGCCTCCGCCTCCACCAGCACGGCGGGCCGCGCGGGACCGCGACCTGACGCCCTCAGATTCGGATACGGCCGAGCCTCTGATAGCCCCTGCCATCTACGCCAAGGCCAACCTTGAGATTCCCAAGACGCCGGGTCAAGGAGACAAGGTCCCCTCTCCTAAGCCGGGAAGGTACTGGCTCGAAACGCCGCCCGGATACATGAACCGGGAGAACGTCCCCCCCGCCGAGGACGTCTTCCAACGCGTTCGTCTTGATTGGCTCATCCTGTTTGATCTCCGCATGTGGAAGAAGGTCAGAAATGACCTGAGATCCCTCTACATATCGACAGTCGTCTCGATACCCGAATTCAAGCGTATTCTCGGTCTTCGCTTTTCCGGACTATACACCACCTTGGCGCAATTATACTTGATCGGTGACCGAGAGCCAGATCACTCCATCATAAACTTGTCGCTGCAAATGCTTACCACGCCGTCGATCACCGCTGAGATCGTGGAACGAGGCAACTTCATGACAAGTTTGCTCGCCATCTTTTACACATTTCTCACAACTAGGCAGGTGGGGTACCCCTGGGACGTCTCATCGAACGCCGTTCTCGCATTTGACTCGGGATCAGTGACCAACCGGCGGATGTATCACTTCTACCTGGACCTGAAATACCTGTTTGGTTCGCCCCATGTCCAGGAGAAGCTGCGTAGTGAGGAGCGCTACCTGTTGCAGTTCCTAGACCTCGTCAAGCTGCACCAAGGCATTGGTCCGAACGTTAGGGCGGTTGGGGAACACGTCGAGTACGAAACAGACAGCTGGATTACGGCGTCACTGGTCACAAGAGAGATCAACCGACTGGCTCGACAGTTGGCGGATGCCTTCAGAAACGTCCCCGAGAATGAAGCGCACCTCGTGGCTCAAGCAATCAGAATGACAGCCAAGGCCGTGATTCTGCACTCCGTTGGCGCGGAACGCCACCGTTTCAAGCAGGCAGAAATCAAAGATGAGGTCAAGTTCAAGACGCTGGGTGACTTCGAATTCGACAACGAGTCGTCTCGGTACGAGGTTGTCAAGTTCACCGTGGAGGAGGATCCAATCAGCTTTCACCACGCCCTGCACTACACGCTCTCCTGGCTTATCGAATGCGGAAAGTCTCTGCCTGCTTCGAGCATGAAGGCTCTCCTGAGCTTCACCACCCAAGATTTGAGGCTGCCACCGCGCACCATGGGTCGCAAGATGATGCCCAAACGAGACAACTCCCCTGAAGACAACCTCATGGCCACCTTTGACTACCCCCTCCGTGTTTGTGCTTGGCTCGCCCAAATCAAGGCCAACATGTGGGTGCGCAATGGCATCAGCCTTCGCCACCAAGCCGCCACGTATCGTGGAGTCAGCCAGAGAGATGTTTCACACCATCGTGACATTTTCCTGCTTCAAACTGCCATGGTAGTCGCCGATCCGAGTCGTGTTCTTGCGTCCATCATTGACCGGTTTGGTATGGAGAAATGGGTCAAGGGCTTCTTTGAGCAAAAGTCGGCGGCTCAGGATGACGTGCAGCATCTCGACGTGGTTGAAGACATGATCCACCTGCTGATTGTGCTTCTGAGCGACCGCACCTCTTTGATCGCCCCTGGGGATGAGCCCAATTCCAACATCCTTGCCATTCGCCGCGACCTCACCCACATTCTGTGTTTCAAGCCCCTCTCGTTCAATGAGATTAGCAACAAGTTGCCAGAAAAGTGGCAAGAACAAGAAGACTTCCATGCTGTCCTGGACGAGATGGCTTCATTCAAGCCCCCTGAAGGCGTGTCTGACGTTGGCACTTTCGAGCT